GTAATTTATTTCATCTCCCCCTAGACCATTCGAATTAGGAACATGAGTCTTCGGTGCATGGGTGGGCTACATTAGTGTGACTTGGGGTGTGGCCGTCCCTAGGGGGTGGAATGATTAGTGGTTTGTCAGGCAATGAATCTGATTCCATAGATTGCACTTAAGATTCCTTGCAGAGTTGGACCGACCCAGCTAGTACTACTTATATACATATATTTTATTTACAATATTTGCACTGTATAATACAAACATGTTTAAAGATAGTAAGAAAAGGTGCATAGAACATAAATGTCTCATTGGTTTCTAGTATAATATAATATACATTTAAAGGACTCGTGTGGTAATTTGGATCATTATCACAGTCGTATTGAAAGGGGACACTTCATTTGTACATCTTAAGCCTCGGTCACAACCAGCGGTATGGGCTCTTACGGGCTGTTTGCGTCCAAATTTTGAGCAGAATCTCACGTCCCACGCAAGTCCTTACAAAATTTCGAGTTCGCAGACAGCCCGTAAGCACGTACGGAAGATGTTGGACATGTCCAAAAGATTCTACGGATAGCCTGCGAACAGCGAGGTCGCAAGCGTAACTTGCTTCCCTCGCACGGAGTTAGCAAGAGAGACCCGTGTTGTACAAGACACACAATGCAAGCAATGAAGGAGCAAGTGCCCTTTTGCGTGTTGAGTAAGGTGCACGTCCTCACAACTAACAAACAAAGTCGAGAGCACACCGGGAATGCGTCGCACGTGCGTCACCCCCACGCCTTGTGTATAAAAGGCGTGATCACGACGCACGCTCGTGTCTTTACAATGAACGTCGACTGTGTTACGTGTACAACAATTTTCAAAAATTTCAAATTTTTGCTCAGTTTAGTTTCTAATATGCCTCCAAAAGGCAAGAGCAAGAAGCTTCCATAGTATAAAAAAGGGAGGAGGAAGAAGAAAGAATAGAAGAACAGGAAGCAAAACTGGCGTACGCCGTCAGTACGTCACCACAAACGTGTGAGGCAAGTGTGAAGCAAAACTGACGCAAAAGAGTACTACTTTCGCCGTGCGTTGCATTCCCTTCGTAAGTGGTGAGTGATAAATGAATACAATAAATGAGTACAATTTCCACGGCCATCGCTCCTTGCAATTAGCGTCCCTGCTTGAAGGGAAATCTCATATGGCCCTTGCGATTTGCAAGGTAGACTTTCCTCTACCTCTACGAACCCACGACCTCCACTGCACCCAAAATTGGTAGAGGACCTACGGTCCTAAAATCCGTGCGTCCAGTTATGACCGAGGCTTAAAACTGTGCCTGCACTGTCTCCCACATCAACATTGATAAAAAATACTGTGATTACTGACCACTTAAATAACAAATGTGATATTGCTGATTCATCTGATTTGTCAGTTTGTTGTTTATCAGAGTAAAATAACTTACGTTTTGCAGGATGCTTTGAAAATTGTGGGTGTCCAATCCGGCGTTTTCCTGGAAAATAAAATAAGAAATGCATATAAGTTTGTTTTCTTGGTGAATGCATCCTGCAAACATTCAAATTCTATATTGAAGAAACAAATTATATTTATATACAAATGTTGTACAATATTTAAATATATTTTGATACTACCACTGTAGTTTCCACTATGTTATTGTAACAACGTACATGTATTAAAAATTAAAAATATTTATAATTAGTGATTTATTGCATCATTACATCACACCCCCTCAGCCCACAAAAAGTTAAACTATTGTAATAATTATGTTTAAACATACCTAGACCTAGGGTCATGTGAAAAGAAAACCATATTTAAAACCTAAGTGATATTTACATGTATATAAAAATGATGTACAGTATTTAAATATACAGACTTGACATTTAATATGGAATATTTTTTTCCAAGTAATTTTTTATCGGTTTTTTCCTATTTTGCTGACTGATAAATGAAAATAAGGATTAAAATTGTGTTTTAATAACTTTAAATTATCGCTTTGATGTCATTGGGACATCAATTCATTAATGGATTTCGCCAGAGAAGCAAACAAAAACACATTGCCTATTCTATGCCATACGACTTACATTAAAACAGATATTTTGGATCTCCATATTTTCCAAATTATCTTCTGTAAAAGAGTTATACGCTCCATAAAAGACCCTCATGTCAATTGCTAGTCACAAGAATGGTCGCTGTTACGCCTGGCCTCTTCTGGCTGTTGCCAGCTCTCTCAAGCGGCAAGGCATTCCTTGGGGTAGGTTTTTAGAGTTCAATCGGGAATAATATTCTAGGCATCGGTCTAAAATTGTCCAAGTTGGTCCAGTTTTGTTGTAGGACATGTGGGCAATTGATTCGGCGAGTAATGGCCTACCGAAATATTGCCTATGTGGTTCAAATGTGGCGATTTTGATGACCAGGGTAGCTGCTCATTCCCTTGGTTCTGTAAGTTATCTGCTATTAAAAGTGCTCTGTGTGAACCGGCAACCTCACCGTGCAACCTAAAATCGTTCCTTAGGTGCCCCCTATCAAATGATAGTCAAGTGGTTCCGAGATTATTCCTTAATTTGATCTGGTTCAGGTTTTCGTCGATGACTACCATTGGTGTTTTGGCACCAATGTGGTATCCACTCCAAATACTGACGCTGTCAATCACCCTTGTCACTTTAGACCCGGCATATGCTTCGTCGTAGGTCTCTTCTGGATAACTGTAAACTCTGTTTTGACTAATTGAGCGGTACAGGTGAAATCTGACCTCAATAAAGAAAGCCACGCAGTTTCAGTGTTCTACCCAGAAACGGCAATGGCCACCAATTCATTAGAGAAACAGACGACGATGTTTTGCTGATTACAGTGGGTGCCTCGGAGGTCGTTTGGTGTTCTTACCTGCTAAAACCAGTTTGGTGTTCGCTAAGGGCTTTGAAAAACGCATTTTGGTGGCAATTTACCCCTCGTTCTTAACGGACTAAGTGTTTTTTGTTTAGTTGCAGCAGCGTATCCCGAGAGNGGTAATGGCCTACCGAAATATTGTCTATGTGGTTCAAATGTGGCGATTTTGATGACCATGGTAGCTGCTCATTCCCTTGGTTCTGTAAGTTATCTGCTATTAAAAGTGCTCTGTGTGAACCGGCAACCTCACCGTGCAACCTAAAATCGTTCCTAAGGTGCCCCCTATCAAATGATAGTCAAGTGGTTCCGAGATTATTCCTTAATTTGATCTGGTTCAGGTTTTCGTCGATGACTACCATTGGTGTTTTGGCACCAATGTGGTATCCACTCCAAATACTGACGCTGTCAATCACCCTTGTCACTTTAGACCCGGCATATGCTTCGTCGTAGGTCTCTTCTGGATAACTGTAAACTCTGTTTTGACTAATTGGGCAGTACAGGTGAAATCTGACCTCAATAAAGAAAGCCACGCAGTTTCAGTGTTCTACCCAGAAACGGCCATGGCCCCCAATTCATTAGAGAAACAGACGACGATGTTTTGCTGTTTACAGTGGGTGCCTCGGAGGTCGTTTGGTGTTCTTACCTGCTAACACCAGTTTGGTGTTCGCTAAGGGCTTTGAAAAACGCATTTTGGTGGCAATTTACCCCTCGTTCTGAACGGACTAAGTGTTTTTTGTTTAGTTGCAGCAGCGTATCCCGAAAGACAGTGGGTCCTGTACCCTGTGGGTAAGATTTTGATACATTGGGGGTGACCTCTGTGTAGGTGCATCAGTCTGGGCATTACTCTATAAAACTGTGGGGACCGTTCCGTTTGGCGCTATGATCTGTCTGGTAATGTCTGTCTTTTTCGCGCCATTCTGCCATAGATTAACAAATTTGTAATGCACTACTTGACTCATCTTACGCACTGCAAAACTGACCGCTTGCATGCAAAATTTCAAACTCTTCTATGCAGTGGTTGCCGATATATGGGTACTTTTTTGACAGAACCAAGCTTTGCCTAAGCCAAGCTTTGACCAGCCTAAAGGAACACTACCCAACTAAATCACTACATATTACATAATATAGCAGCGCAACAGACATGAAAGTCAGTTAATTGGTAGCGACACACCTGACTACACACTTCTCCATTCACAAATCTTATATGAGATCGGAGTTTTATGAAAAAAGAACGCATTTTTACCTAGACATACCTTCGAAACTGAAATATTCCATATTAAATGTCAAGTCTGTATATAAGTGAATTTTAATTACAACACAAAACCTTCTGTTATCTGTTCCAGCTAATGCTAATCTAAAATCCGTTGTTGCATCATTGATATGGATGACAAGATCGACATAAATTACTCCGAATTGTATTTAAGGGACAAAGTTTAAGATTTCAAACAAACATTAATTACACAAACCACGTCTTGTTGAACTTATCTAGGGCGAAGTCGTCCTTTTGTTTCATTTTAACAATGATCTAAACTTGACACAGTTTAGGATTGCCTACAACCCGGAAGTCATTATGGCGGGAGTTGAAAACCACAAGCTGAAGCGTGGTTTGAGGGATTTTGCTACAGAGTCATGGCTAGTACCAGGGAAAATATGGTTTACCCAGAAAAAAATCGTTAAGGAAGACAATCCTTACACTTCGCATCTTTAAGCAAGCGTTGACGGATACAATAACAACATTATTTTTTGTCTGATTTGATTTCGCACCATTATTAAACACACAGACAGCAGATCCCATTACAGTATTCACGGTCATTGCAAGTACTACGGCACCCAAGCCAATGTTTCAAAGCAGTTTCTCTCTCTCTCTCTTTTTAAATAACCCCCTGTACTCCGATGCTTTCTGCTCGCGCGATCAGATGGCGTTAGAGAAAATGAGGAATTTTAAAACAATACTGAATCCCTGTGTCACTCAACCATAGCATTATTACTGATTAATACTACCCTCCAATAGTTTCCTCCATCCTTTTCCTTTAAATTTCAGATGACCATGGAAAGTCGACTGAAATGCCGGTCTATATTTTGGCTCTTTTACTGATAACTTTTTGTATGTCTGACAAAGGATTTTATTACTTTTTCAGTATGTGGAACGAAAGCTCCGACTCATCCGATCCGAGGGTATGTTTTCCATGTTTTTTATTCATGTTTTCAAGCAACAGTTTTTGTTTTAATACTTACACTTACCGATTAAAAAGGCTACTCATACCCGTCCATGTTGAAGAGCTTGATTAACAAAGATAGGCTATAAAACAATCAGCCATTGTACTTGCCTGAAACAATATATTGGTACAAATGGAATCTCATTTCGTTCTCGTTTTAGAAAGATATTTCGATAAATCATCAATCGAACATATCAATCCATTGTACACGATTGATAATTATCTTCTTTGTCGTTGTTAGGCACATTGCACACTCACCCAAATGGCACCTCACCAATGACGTCAGATAAGCCGTCTGCCCATCTGCTTTATCGCGGGGGTAATAGTACACCGCGCGGTTTTCGAGGTAAGCACGTGGTAACGGCGTGAAAATAGACGTGCGGTCCTAATCTGTATTGACTTCATTGTATCGGATCCCTAAATGTCTGTCATCTGACTGGCACATTGGTAATATCTATTAAGGCCCAAAGTATGAATGTTTAAAAGCCTTGTGTCACGATTTAAATCTTGGAATCACTGATACACATGTACCGTAAGCCCCTATCTATCATCTATCAGATATTTTGTTAATATATATTCACACCCAAAGTACGTATGCATATTTAAAGGGCGTGTCTGAGTTCATGATTTAGAAATTATCAGTTTTAGTATCGATGGACGTGATCATGATGATGATGATGATTATTATTATTATTATTATTATTATTATTATTATTATTATTCCATTCACAGGGCAGGACGGAATGTATACCATCACTAACTGGGCCAAAGGCAGCCTTGGCTACCTCAGCGGCGTCGACTTCCATTCACATTCCGGCAGTTTCGTCATCAAAGAAGAAGGAAGATACTTCATCTACAGCCAGGCTTTGTTCTTATTCACCTACCAGCCCAGTGACGTCACTTCTGCCCAAAATCCACGTGGGGAAACGGTGGTCCACTCCATTTACCGAAACAACATCCGCCGCGCTGCAGAGGAAGAGATGATGACGGGACGGAAGTCGAACTGTTGGTCCACGGAGAAAACGTTCGAGGTCAAGTCGAATTATCTAGGAGGGGTGATTTACCTGAGGGCGGGAGATGAGGTGTACGTCAAAGTTTCTGACCTCACTAAGGTGAAAATAAACGACTTTAAGTCCACGTATTTTGGTTTGTACATGTTGTAAATTTCAAGTTGTTTCAGAAATAGTTTGCAAAAAAAGAGGTATGACTACGTCATATTCTTAATAACGAATCTATTTCTTTTTATCATTATAGGTTTTCTCCCTAATTTTCTTTTTATTTGTGAGGGTCGCTTCTTTGCTTAAGGATGGGCCTCTGTATTAATGGGCGCCCTTCCGAATGTTAACCAATAGCTAGAAAAGAAAGAAAATTGGCACTTCTTTATTTCTTTTTCTTGTGGATATTGTGTGGATCTGTTATAGATTTTCATTGTACAATAATTTGCTCATTAGAATGCCCTCTGTACCCTGAAGCATTAGAAGTGAGGTTGAAAGATTAATTGAAATTGAGATGAAAGCCAATCAAAATGAACTACACTGCCAATCTGAATGAGTAAGGATCAAGAGTGTATTTAAGTACTTGGTGAATATGAATGCAACCACGAATACCTTGTGTAGAGAGAGAGAGAGAGAGAGAGAGAGAGAGAGAGAGAGAGAATCCAAGGCCAACTGTGATATAAAATAACAGCAATCGCAACAAGAGTTTTGTAAGTTCTTGATTGTATTAGCGTACTTGTCTTTCACACTGTAAAATTTAGTAATAATGTTGTTATTATTTTAACAATGCATCAGGTATTATTCGAAATTTATTTTTCGAAAATAAATAACAAATTTTGGCACGGAAGAGTTATTTGGATATTAATGAAAACAATACCCCAATCAGTGCAGTTTCCTTCTACTGACTTTGTTATTTCGAATTTAGTCATTCATCAGTATCATGACTCATATTTCCTGTATATATTCTCCATCTATTACCAATACAATTTACAGCAAAGTGCGACGACATTACGTCACATACCACGTGACAATAAATGTAAGTAAACTTCATCTCCAAAATGTACAGTCGTAAGTATAAATATAAGTATAAAGTCTGCTGTGCAGGTTACTTATATTTCCTTTTTGTAATCAATGAAAACAGTAGATAATTAATTTGCTTATCATATATGTTTTTAATACTTAATTAAATAAATTTATTACACAAGAAAAAGTTTATTATAGGCCTAAAAGAAAAAGTTTTATTGTTTTCATTCACCCAGCGTAGAATCGTTATTATTATTATTTTTTTTTTACGTGTTAATGGAATTTACCTTTTAATGATTTGTTGTTTTGATAATCAATAACCTTTATACAATATGGTCAATGTTCAAACTTCCGTTTGCGACATTGTGAATACCAGAATTGCAATTTCAAATGCAGTGTGGCTTTTTATTGTATATACAAATCTATCAATTATTATTATTATTATTATTATTATTATTATTATTATTCATTAGATATGCAAAAGATGGGTATATGCACACAAAACACGTTTTAAAGCTCAAAAAGGGACAACAATAGCATCTTATTCGGTCATTCGTGCAAAACTAAAAATAAACAACTTATTTATAAACAGAGGACTTGCTGTATTTCATCTTCGTGTGTACGTAAAGCCCCCTTTACACTGGACGGCGTCCTTTCTGCGTCCAGTAGTACGGCCACATTTGAGAGTTAAAAAATTATAATATTTTACATGCCGACAACTGGCCGATCATTGAGCATTCATTCTGATACAAAAACAATGCTCGTGCCTCCTTATTAAGACCACAACGATGCCAAATTTCATGGCCGCAGAAAGGACGCCGTCCAGTGTAAAGGGGGTATAAGAAATTCATCATTACCATAGAATTCTTATGACTACTTTTTTGCGCCACAAGGATGTGAAAATTCTTTTAGAATGGGTAAGTGAAAGAAATCGCTCTCGTGTCACTGAGCAGCACCAATTGAAATTTAATCTATTGTTAAAACCACAGTGCAAGTGATCGATTTTACGTGTTAATAGAAGTCACCTTTTAATGACTTCTTAAATGTTGGTTTGATGATCAGTAATCTTTATACAATATAGCCAGTGTTCAAACTTTTGTTTGCGACATTTTGAATACTAGAATACATTATTTTCTTTTACATGCAAAGTAAAACTTTGTTCTTGAGCATACACATCTATCAATTATTATCCATTAGCTATGCAAAAGATAGGCTAATGCACACAAAATACGGCTTTTGGTTTAAAACTCCAAAAGGAACAACGTTAACAACAGCATCTTATCCGGTCATTCGTGCGGAAACGAAAAATGTAGAACTCATTCATTAATAAAGTACTTGTTGCCGTAATGTTTTTTATCTTATGTACTTCAGAAATTCACCATTACCATAATATTCTTAAGGCTACTTTTTTTGCGCCACAAGGAAGTGAAAATTCAGTTAGAATTTGTAAGCGAAAGAGGACATGGATCGGTGTTTAAATCGCTCTCGTGTCACTGTCAAAATGTAATATATTGATAGAACCAACGTACATGTGATCGATTATCCCATTCTTCCAGGAAGAAGTTACATATTTAACCGTTCCAAGAAAGGTTTAAACATTAGCTCACAATATATGGCGAAACCATGCTTTTTTATTTTTTTATTTATTTTTATTTTATTTTATATACAGTATATACATAGATTGACTGGAAAAGCGAAGTCAATTTAATTAAAAGGTACGGGGAAACTTTATATCAGAAATCTATTCTGTAGCTTAAGCCTATACTTTTTTTTTTTTGCGGACGCGACGTCTGCAAAGAAAAACTTTATTATTAATGTTATATTACTTTTCTTTCTTTATTTATCTGTTTGTATTTGGATAATTTATGTTAGCTTTCAGATATCGTAAAGAAACGACAAACACTTTGTGTCTCTCAACGAAAAGCATAGTATTTACTTCAACGTAGCTACTCTTTTGGGTTTAAAAACGAAACCAAAGCTCCCGCTGGACATGCGCACAAGTTGCTTTTCTTGGATATCTTGGGGAACCACATGACAAAGTTCCAGGTACGGGGTTATTTATATAGTGACATCGAGCACACGCTTTGTGGCGTGTCATAATAATAACAACCGTCGCGAGCCAGGGCAGTTAAACCTGTGGCCTAGAGCGAGCTACAGTTCAGGCGTGCAGTAAAAACCCCGGGGTGGACGTATTTCTACTGTAGCGCCCCAGGGTCCGATGCGCTGCGCATCTGGCGGTGGTGAAAGGAGCGGGAAAACGGCTCACTTGGTCGACTCTTTATTTTTTCTTAAACGGATCTGTCGGTAAGTGCACTTGGCGCGTGTTATGGTTGGTGTTTTATGCTACCAGGTTTTCATTTGAAAGAGAAACATTTGATTTCATCAGTGCAGAGAGCGAAAAAATTGTAATTAACTGACCACGGGTCGTACCTGTTCATTTATAGAAGATCCATTCAGTATCGATTTTGTTTGCTCTCATTTTTCTCCGTCGAAGGAGGCAAAAAACTTAAAATAACACTGGAAGAAAATGTGCAATGGTTTTATGACCGCTGTTAAATAAAAGCAAAAGCGTTAGCGCTAAAACTCATATCAGTCATTTCTCACTCTTATTCCAAGTAGGAAAGGCAGTTTTATGTTATTTCTACATTGTTATAGAGGGGAAAATCGTCACCTCGGCCTGAAAAATGCCTCCCTGATATACTTCGAGACGCACTTCTAAGATGTCTCATCCTGCGATCGACAACCATAGCAACGGAATCTTAATCTATCTGACCACTGACAGCGGTCAAGTGCCCGGGGTCTCCACGAGAATCAGAGAAAACGAAAGTGACCAAGCGTCATATTCCCGACAACGTAGCAGTGACAGCGGCGTTAGTCAACTGAGCACTGGCGGTGAATCCGTCCGCTCCGTGACCCCGATCGCTGCACCAGGAAGAGAAAATAAAAAGAACCCCGATAAAGACTTAGAAAAATTGCAAGGAGACGTGAAAAAATTGAGACTGTGTATCAGGAAATTGGTCATAGTGTTTGTGGTTATAACCTGCCTACTTATTAGCGCGGTGGTTGCTGTAGGGGTGCATTCCTTTCATCCCTACGTCAACACGGCAGAGCACAGCGTCAACGCCGAGCAAGCTGGCGTAGCAGACGACACCCTTTCCTCGCTCTGCATACCATGCGCTGACCTCTCCCAAGACGTATCGGTCGAAGAACTTAGAATGGAAAAGAACCCCGACCTCTGCTGCGCCCGAAACCAGACGCAGTTTCATAAACTCCTGCAATGGGTGAGCTTACAAATTCCGCAAGAAATATCAGATAAACGCCAAACAGACTGCACTTTAATGAAATTGAAATGAAGTTTGTGAAAGGGCATAGGGGATATATCTTGTGAACAATCAGCAAAATGTGATTTACATATGACAAAATGTTTAACATATTCAAACCACTGTAAGCTGAAAGAAAAAAATACTAAAATTCATACCCCTGCATTGGGGGGGGGGGGGGGGTAGGGCTGGGGGCGGGGTTCATAATGACAAAATATGCCATGTCGATACTCCCCCACACCGATACTCCCCCGCGCCGATTATCCCCCTTAATAATTTTTTTGTATTATGCGCATCGATTCGACCCCACACCGATAGATCGCCGCACCGGTACATCCCTGCACCGATACTTCCCCTCAGTATATCTGTAATTGTGGGGGAATGTCGGTGCAGGGAAGTATTGGTGCAGGGATGTACCAGTGCGAGGGAGTATCGGTGCGGGGGAGTATCGGTGATAGTTTCTTTTGTCAATAGCTATAAAACATTCACCGATATTTATCAGCCAATATAATGTCTGCTGACAGTCAGACTTAATCAGGGAAATGAGGGCTGTAATACTTCAGTATTTTAATTTGTCACCCCTTAAGTGTGCTGTCTAGGCATGTGCTATTTCAGAAACAAGCCTGGTTTAAATAGTTACGACAGTTAGTATATTATACAAGGAACAGAATAACAATTCGTACATTCAGAGTTTTGTCATTAAAATATAAAATTTAGACGCCACTAACAGTTTTATTGCTGAAAGCAAAAGGAATACCTGGTGCGAATTAAACGACCCTTATTGCTCAGAAAACAGTCAACAATATATATAGATGTGTAGGTTACAGTTTTTTTTTTTCTATTTTGGCACTTTGATTAAGACACACGCATACGGGGGTTAAAAAAGTCATCTTCTGTTAAAACAGATAATTGCTTATCATGTATTTGAACATGATACCACGGGAGGAGTTAACTTAATAAAAGCAACTGATCAACTCAAGGTAAACAGAGCCCCCGTTCAGGAAGTTTTTGAAGAAGCACACTAACTAAAACTTATCATGTATTTGAACATGATACCACGGGAGGAGTTAACTTAATAAAAGCAACTGATCAACCCAGGGTAAACAAAGCCCCCGTCAGGAAATTTTTGAAGAAGCTCACTGACTGCAACTTCTGCTTATTCAAACTACCGTCCTCCTGATTTTGTGATATCTGTGAAAGTCTAGGGGTGTATAATTTGCAGAGACACCAAAAAGGGACTACCTTTGTGTGAGTGCATCGCATGATGTTTTTCTTAGCATCAAATGTGTTTTCTTTTGCAACCACAAACAAAAAAACTAACCTTCGGGTATCTTTCTACCTTTCAAAGAATTAGGATTACTTGAGGCATTTGACAACGTATTATTTATCAACCCCTGGTCATGTATGGTATATTTTCATGCACCCGTTCCCATGAATAACACAATTTTCTTTTTTCCTTTTCAGTATGTGGATGTGAAAATACAACAAGCTGAAGAAGGTGAGGGGACCACTAGTGCGTTAAAAACCAACTTCGGAGCTGGTTTTAACGCAAAATGTTTGAGTTAAATCGTGTTTTCCACCCATGAAAGTCATTTCCACCTTTTATAAAAGGGCCTTGACCAAGTGACTGACTCGTTGATGTGAGCGCCAAGAGATTAAGGTCATTGCACGAGAGGCAAAAAAAACTATTTAATTATAAGTAACTTTGGCAAACGAGACATGTTTAAAACAAAAACATTTCGTTTTTCTCTCTCTCTCNAAATAATGAAAAGCTGTGTTGTTACTATGTGGCGAGCATTTCAGCGATGCTATTCGATAGTGCATGCACAAGTTCAACCAGTTTGTATTTATAAAATTTATATGAAAGAAGTTCATTTACCAGTACAAAATTCCAGGCATCGATTAGAGTTTGTCTGAGTTGAAGGTTCAGATTTGTCATTTGTCAGTAGACTATTGATTCGTCGAGAATTTAATGCTCGAAGATTTCTATAGGCTCTATATCTGGCGATCATAAGCTGCTCAGTCCTTTGATTCTGCAATTATTCTGGGAATGCAAGTACATGTAGTATCTGTTTACGGGTTTTGTCATCTTGTTATACAAAATTGTCACTGAGGTGCCCCAGGATGTTCCTGTACTTGACTGGACAGCAATGCTTTGACACAATGGTGCAATGTACTCTCAGTTCACGCACCGTACTTGTATGCAAAGATTTGAACGCGTTGGTGAAATATGGAGAATTAGCATGCTTTCAAACCTAAACCCAGTCCAAAAAGAGTACTACCCTAGGAAATTTAGCGCAAATTACGTGATGCAGCGCTGCTACGAGCGTATACTGACTCACCTGATTACACAGTGTTATTCACATAACATGCATGAGATAATAATATATTATTATCATTATTTTTTTTATTTTGGTAAACAATTCATTTTACCAAGACAGATTTTAGACTGACCTGACATATCCCATATTAAATATCAAGTGTATATATATATATATATATATATATATATATATATATATATATATATATATAGTTCTTTAACACTACAGACTTGACATTTAATATGGGATATGTTAAAACAATATTAGAGAGCACAATGATGTCATTCCAAATGTATATACAAGTAGTGAAAGAAAAAAAAAACAAAAAACAAATGAATGATGCTAGGAGAGGAAAGAAAAAGAAAAAGAAAGGACTTATCGCCTGTAGACATAATAAAGGTTACAAAGTTGTCATTTGACGAAATTCTTAATGAAAATTTGAAAGTCACGCTGTATGACCTTATCATTGTTTATCTGCTGCTTGCTTGTGTATATTTTTCATAATTGACACGTGTAACAAAATTATTACTTGCTCCTTCGTAAGTAAATAGTGTCATTCGCGCACCGCGGCCTTCAAATTAAGCCATTTAAAAATTTAACTCCCTTCACATGGTTGAAGTCATCGCATTGATTACACCAAATAGAATCAGCTTATGTAACCTCCCTTTTTAGAACAACAACGAAGTACAAAAGTGTGCTTCCCGCTTAACACGTTTATTCATATCTTCAAAGATAAGCAAACAGGGCCAAATGACATTGCCTTAAAGCTTGTATATACCAGTATTTGAGCCATTGCATACACAGTCAGAAAAAAAGCGAATCTAAAATCTGAAATCTGAAGAAAACTGAAATCTGAAATTACTTTCAGAAGTACTGAAATCAAAGGCAAAGTCCATTTATAATATTTATAAGCACTTTATTGTCTTGGTCGGGCGCACACGTTGAACTTCGGTGGCACGTACACAGAGCCGGTGGTACCAACTGGGACCGGAAGCATCTCTCCATCGGGCACGTGGAACGTGAAAGCGTGCACCAAGGCTGTGAGGATCAGGAACATCTCCGGTTTGGCCAGACTCTCTCCTGGACAGGAACGCTTGCCTTGAAAACAGAAAAAAAGGATATTATTATTTTCTCTTCTACATTATACAGAATGATTCACAATATCAACGTTTTGTACTATTTACATTTATGGTATCATTATCATTCTAAAACTGACAGATTAAAAAAAATTGAATATGATCGAGCGGTGAAAGTTATCAGCACATGGTACAAAGGATACATCAATATATCATGCAATACTCGTAATAAAGTGTGGCTACTGAAATCTGAGCGAAGAATGCAGATTAACTTAAGAGCTGAATATCATAACGGATGTTGCTGCAGTCAGTTTCGTATAATAGTATTTTACTTGTTTTCTATCTCAAATGAAGAGACACGTTTCATACCTAGTGAAAATGGTATAAACCCTTCGACTTTTTTCAAGTTTCCACATTCGTCCAGAAACCTCATCGGTTGAAACTGGCGTGGATTGGTCCAAATTGCTTCGTTCATGAATATTGACCAGTAGTCTGCCAAAATTCGAGTCCCCTTGGGTATAAAGAAGCCATGAACTTTGATGTCCTTTGTAGCCTTGTGCATACCCGAGAAAGGAGCTATATTATTACAACGTTGGATTTCCAATAGTGTAGCGCAAGTGAAAGGAAGATTCGGTCTGTCATCAAGTGTTGGGCGACGTAATTTCCCCACGACTTCATCCAACTCTGATTGGAGCTTGTTGCAGACGTCGGGATAAGACAACAGGAACAGCATTCCCCATGTCAGAGTCGATGAGGACGTTTCCGATCCAGCAAAATATAAAGTTTGACTATTAGCTTTGATATCTTCCAAGCCAAACAATGGCTGGTCATTCTCTTTTGTTTGGTGCATCATAGCATCGATAAGCCCTCGTGTTGCGCATGCGTTATAAGCCATTCGGTGCTTATGTAAAATTTGGTTTACTGATTTTGCATAATTGTCCCAGGCATGCGCACTTCTTTTGCACTGAGGTAAAAACCAAAGGTATGGAAGGAAGTTTTGAAACGATGCCTGACTGCTAAGTTTGACTGCACTGTGGTAAGCTTCTATCAGTGCTTGGAAGTCTGGATCATCGTAGTCATGTCTGCTACCAAACAGTAGGGCCCCTATCATGTTAGACGTAGAAGCGCTTACCGCACTATTGAAGTCGAAACGCTGTCCGTTTTTGTGTCCTATGTATTGAATAAGGGCAATGATTTCATTTTCCATTTGTTTTTCAACATCAAGCTTTGACAAATACTTAATGATAAAATTTCTCTGCCGTTGGAACTCTGTGCTGTAATCAGCACACAATAAACCTGTAAGATAAAAAAATATCCCGTGATAGAAAAAATAAGTATTTCATCATTTGAAAGCAATTTTAGCGATAGAAGGCATTTATTCAGCGCTAAAGTTACAATGAACACCATTTCGTTTCCTTAAAGGATTGCGTTCGAACGGTGAAATATGCATTAATAACATTTTGTCATGTCCCGTTAACAGCTCTGTATACTGTATAACGGCAACATGTCTGTAATACAAGTAATAAAACTGTGAGGTCGAAGTGACTGGCAGGTTCAGGTAAATTGACTGCCCTTTGTGCTGCAGTAAGGAAAAAAGGCATTATACCCGAATGACGTTTTTCAAAAGTAGCATGATAAATAAGTAAAATTATTTGTGAAAACTTTACTTAGAAGTATATTCCGGTGTGGTGAACTTTCAAACTGGAAGTACGTGTACGTGTGCCTTGACAATTTTTGTCTCTTTTTGTATATAAATGCATGACTCGTGCTCTGAATAATACATGTATGTGATTCGAAGTAATACGTTTTCTTAGCATTTGTTATCCCAATGGCACCCCTAACACATGGTGCTGAGATTTTGAATACCCTAAATTCAGTGTGCATCAAAGTTGGCTCAGTACTTGCACATTGAATTCGGAGCTCAACCAGAATTATTGGTTAACAATGAAATATATATTGACTTATTTCAGGGAAGCTTTTGTGCATGTGTTTCCTTTTTTAAAATAAACCTACCTCTCCCGCCAAGAAACCTGAAAGTCGGAATATTGCAGCCTGCCAGAGGACAAAGCTCCCTTTCTCTGAAAAACATCTCGAATAGCTTCATAACCGTTCAATATAACCGTTGTTGTGGTTCCCATTTTGACGGTGAATATGTTGCCATACTTCTTGGCCCATTTCATCATAGTCAGCTGGGGCTCTCTGTCGAGGAGGGGTAAAACGCCGACAACCGGGAAACCCCACGGACCAGGAGGAAGGTTGAAACGATTTGAGTGTCTCGCAAGCCAGAGGAGTAAAAGAAATACAAGTGCGCTCAGTAGCAGTGATGTATCAAGGAAATCGCTGAGAGCTACCTCCATTGACGCCATGTAATGTATTAAGTGTTCTTATTACTGGAATGCAGGCAATATGTAGTGCGTAATACCAATATATTACATGATGTTATTTGACCTGCAATGTGGAAAATGGCGGTTTCGGTATTTTACCTTAGCATTTCTCCAGATGCTAAAGTATTTATCCAGATGTCTATAACCTACATGTAGTTTCGGATAATTTGATATGGTGTTGTTTAAACCTTGTTTGGTAAAAGTGAACTGGTCAAATTTGCAGGAAAGTTAGGAAAATGTACTCTCTTTAAAGACCCCTATTTGTGTAACTAAAACGCACATGGCATGCTTTAGAAAGTTTCTTGGTCGGATTAATGAATAAGTGTGTTATTTTTACCGTGTCCTCAATAGATGCAAAGTGGCAATTTTGTAGTTTGTGTATGTAATTAAGTGTCGATATTTACCAGAGCAGTGGTGTTAACGCCTGCAAGTCAATAAAGTTTTCCAAGAGGAAGTGAGAGCAGGAATGTGGTAAAGGTTACAAAGTTGTTATTTGATGGAATTTTTAATGAAAAATATGACCCTTAATCATTGTTTATCAGCTGTTTACTTGTTTATAATTAACATAAATGACATTCGTAACAAAATTATTACATTATCCTTCATATGTAAATGGCCATTTAAAAATTAACTCCGACACATGGCTGACATCATCTAATTGATTACACCAAATAGGATCAGCTCATGTAATCTCCTTTGCATTTTTAGAAATACAACAAAGCTTCCCAGTTGATACATTAATTCATATCTTCAAACATAAGCATGTGTCGACATTGCCTTAAAGCTTGTCTATACCATTATTTGAGCAGGTGCATACACAGATAGATAAAAATTCTGATTCTCCATCACTGAAGTGAATATACTGGCATATTCATTGCAATTTAACATCTGAAATTACTTTGAGAAGAACAGAAATCAAAAACTAAGTCCATTTATTATATTACAAGCGCTTTAGTAACTTGGGCGGGCGCACACGTTGAACTTCGGTGGCACGTACACAGAGCCGGTGGTACCAACTGTAGCCGGAAGCACCTCTCCATCCGGCACGTGGAACGTGAAAGCCTGCACCAAGGCTGTGAGGAGCAGGAACATCTCCGGTTTGGCCAGACTCTCTCCTGGACAGGAACGCTTGCCTTGAAAACAGAAAAAAATATTATTTTCTGTTTCCAATATATAGAATACTTCACAATATTAATGATTTGTACTATTTACGTTATTATTATTATTATTATTATTATTATTATTATTATTATCAATCTATAGTTGACGAAGTCAAAAAACTTTTGAATTTGATCATGCGGTGTAAGTTATCAGCACATGGTACAAAGGATACGAAATATATCATGCAATATTTGTATTAAAGTGTGGCTACTGAAATCTAAGCGAAGAAAACAGTTTAACTTAAAAGCTGAATATGATAACAGACGTTGCTGCAGTCAGTTTCGTATAATAGTATTTTACTTGTTTTCTATCTCAAATGAAGAGACACGTTTCATACCTAGTGAAAATGGTATAAACCCTTCGACTTTTTTCAAGTTTCCACATTCGTCCAGAAACCTCATTGGTTGAAATTGGCTTGGATTGGTCCAAATTGCTTCGTTCATGAATATTGACCAGTAGTTTGCCAAAATTCGAGTCTCCTTTGGTATCAAATAGCCATGAACTCTGATATCCTTTGTAGCCTTGTGAGGAGCCGAGATCGGAGTTATATTATTACAACGCTGTATTTCCAATAGTGTAGCGCAAGTGAAAGGAAGATTCGGTCTGTCATCAAGTGTTGGGCGACGTAATTTCCCCACAACTTCATCTAACTCTGATTGGAGCTTGTTGCAGACGTCAGGATAAGACAACAGGAACAGCATTCCCCATGTCAGCGTCGATGAGGACGTTTCCGATCCAGTAAGATATAAAGTTTGACTATTAGATTTGATATCTTCCAAGTCAAACAAAGGCTGGTCATTCTGGTCATTCTCATTTGTTTGGTGCATCATAGCGTCGACAAGCCCTCGTGTTGCGCATGCGTTGTAACCCATTATGTGCTTATATAAAATTCGGTTTACGGATTTTGAGAAACTGTCCCAGGCATGCGCACTTATTTTGCATTGAGGTAAAAACCAAAGGTATGGAAGGAAGTTCTGAATTGATGCTTGACTGCTAAGTTTGGTTGCACTGTGGTAAGCTTCTATCAGTGCTTGGAAATCTGGATCATCGTAGTCATGTCTGCTACCAAACAATATGGCCCCTATGATGTTAGACGCAGAAGCACTTACCGCACTATTGAAGTCGAAACGCTGGCCGTTTTTGTGTCTTATGTATTGAATAAGGGCATCGATTTCATTTTCCATTTGTTTTTCAACATCAAGCTTTGACAAATATTTAATGATGAAATTTCTCTGCCGTTGAAACTCTGTGCTGTAATCAGCGCACAATATTCCTGTAAGATAACAAAAATAGCCTTTAAACACTTAATTTTGGAGAGTTCTGAGGGAGCCGTCACAGAAAAAAAATCATTTTTCATTCGAACACAATATGCATTTTAATTATACTTTGTCATGTCCCTATAACAGCTCTGTATATTGAATAACAGCAACATGTCTGTAATACAGGTAATAAAACTGTGTTGTCGAAGTATCTGGCAGGTTCAGGAAAATATACACACTGTACAGTGCTGCGGTAACGAAAAATACCTTAATGACGTTTATAATAGTAGCATGATAAATAAGTAAACTTATTTGTGAAAAAAATTACAATTGACTGGAAAAAAAGCTAATAAGCAATTTCTGGTGTGGTGACCACTCAAACTGGAAGTAAGTTGAATAGGTGTAGGTGATCGAGCCCTGACATTTTTTGTGTCTATGTATATAAATACAAGACTCATATTGCTGAACAATATGTGGATCGAAGAAATACGTTTCTTAGCATTCGTTATCCCAAAGGTACCCCTAACATATGGTGTTGAGATTTTGAGTGCCTTGATTTTAGTGTGAATCAAAATCGGTTCACTACGTGCACATTAAAATCGGAGCTCAACCAGAATTATTGGTTAACAATGAAATATATATTGACTTATTTCAGGGAGGCTTTTGTGGATGGCTAAAACTAACCGTACAATCTCAACTTCATTCTAAATCTGAACGCGCTCTTGTGGTTATTTGAATTAAAGAATCAGTACCTTTCGTCTCTTTGTTCTGCGTTTCCTTTAAACCTACCTCTCCCGCCAAGAAAACCGAAAGTCGGGATATGCGGCCTGCCAGAAGACAAAGCTCCCTTTCTCTGAAACACATCTCGGATAGCTTCATAACCGTTCAATATAACCGTTGTTGTGGTTCCCATTTTGACGGTGAATATGTTGCCATACTTCTCGGCCCATTTAATCATAGTCAGCTGGGGCTCTCTGTCGAGGAGGGGTAAAACACCGACGACAGGGAAACCCCATGGGCCAGGAGCAGGCCTACCCAACTACCAGACTCAGCACCTAAGGATCCTGAATTAACCGGTATATCGGACCACACTACCCGTTTTCAAGGTGTGTGTCAGATCGCATTTCGGAGTATCAGCCAGACCACCGACAGGATGAGCCCTGGCATGCTCGGCTGACACCTTGATTGGATAGTAAACGTTTGTCGTAAAATCGCTATATGATTTTAAAACCGGGTGCATAAATTTGAAAAGCCACCTAGATGAACCTTAGACTGCCACATTAATCTAATACAATGCAAAAAAGCCCTATCAAAAGTGGTTAAAACATTCAAACCGAATGTCGTTAAGTCCCCATATATCCCCACAGAGACAATAAAATAGAGTACTCTAAAGTAAGAGTACAGTTTAAGGTTGTTCAGCCGAGCGTGGATGAGCCCGCAGTCGTGCTACAAAATTTGTTCTGGAGTATGATACTCCGAAATGCGATTTGACACACACCTTGAAAACGGGTAGTGTGGTCCGATATACCTGTTAATTCAGGATCCTTAGGTGCCGAGTCTGGTAGTTGGGTAGGCCTGAGGAGGAAGGTTGAAACGATTTGAGTGTCTCGCACACCAAAGGAGTAAAATAAATGCAAGTGCGCTCAGTACCAGTGATGTATCAAGGAAATCGCTGAGAGCTACCTCCATGTTATATATATATATATATATGTGTGTGTGTGTATGTGTGTGTTCCTGTTATGCAGGTACAGTGTATTTATAAGATGTAGTGCGTAATGCCCGTATTACAAGATGTTATTTGATCTTCAATGTATAGAGAAATAGCGGTTTCGGTATTTTTACCTTAGCATTTACCTAGATGTCTATAGCCTTGTTTGTAGATAATTTGGATATGGTGTGGTTAAAATCTTGGTGGTAAACGCAAAAAGTTCAAATTTACAGGAAAACTCAGTACTCTCTATATAAAGACCCCTTTGTGTAAGCAAAACGCTCATGGTAAGCCTTTGAAAGTTCCTTGATCAGGTTAATAAACATGAGTTCACTTTTTACATTGCAAAAATGATGTAGATGCAAAGTGATAATATTGTAGTTAGTGTAAGTAATTGAATGTTACTATGTATGTGTAAATCCAATATATAACAAAACAACGGTAAGAAAGCTTGTTGACAGGCATTTTTGCCCTCCCTAAATCAGTCAATAATCGACCAGTCAATAACAATGTTTTTTTAAGAGGAAATGAGAGCTGGATTGCGAGGTGCGATTTGATTGCGTTTGCTGAGATATAGCCGTTTTCGTATCGTGTCAGAATCACGCAGTGTACTTTTGATTAAACAGAATACGCAAATTTCGCGTTGAGTGTCAGTAGCGGGCAAAATTATAAACATATCAGTTGTGCGTCAGATACGGGATTTTTTCATGTCGGCGTAACCTTTTTTCATGCATTTAAAATAGCAAAGCTAAATGTATTTCCTGGAGCATTTTTTTCCAATTTCACTACAGCTCTAACACAACATTCGTCGTCATCTGTCGACCTTATGAGCCTTCCATAAATTCAAAATTGTCTAAACCCGTTATTTTATAACAACTGATTACCATATGGCATATTCAAGATTTATATCACTAATCAGTCACACAAATCGCTAAATTTTGACAGAAAAGAAACACTTCTAATACCGTTCAGAAAACTAAACAGTAAGAGTCTGAATCCTATATACAGAACATCATGCTCATGTACGAGTATAAAGGCGCTTTGACGACACATTGTTTACCAGTGCATTGTTAAGTCTGAATGCTCGCGCATGTTGACACACCAAAACAGCATACGTCACAGCGTGGAAACGTTTATGTGAACAATACACTGAAATCTTAAGTAAACACACATTTGACGCAGGCGATCAGAGACCAAGTGATTAGGATAGAAGTCGAAGGGATAAACAAAATGGCGGACCAGGTTAAACTCTGGCTACATTACGTTTTCTTTTTGGTTTTAATACAAATACAGGTGAGATTTTATCCTGATGTTATCCATGATTAGTTAATTTATTTATAGGTTTAAACGGAAAGTTGGTATTTAACAGTTTCTGTGGGACTGAGGAGGTTAGGGACGTAGTCGTTACGGATAAAGGAAAGTAACTTCGATTTTCCATTTTCATCAAATTACAGTTATCGGCTTTGATTGCACTGGTATTTTAAAGTAGCCACCTTCCGAAAAGTGACCTCTCACTGATATCAGGAAATGGGAATTGATATGGACGAAGTGGGATTAGGTCTTGTAGAAATAATACCGGTGATACATGCTCGTGTTATGTACAACAGAGGGCTACAATGTAGGTGTCTAGAAGTGATATAATACAGTGACTGATTACCCTCTAGAAGATTGCTTTTTCATTAAATATTTTAAAATGTGTCCCTGGATAATGCATGGCACTTGTCTGCCCTTCGCGTAAGGGAAAAGTGTACATAACTTCAATCCACGGCCCTGGTAAAGAGTAGTGACTGATGCAGATTCGATGTTTGTGATGATGCCCCAGAAAACACTGTTCTAATAATGGTGAAAAACCACTGGCATTCAAGATTCTGCTGTCATTGGACTGGCTCATTTTTCAATTTTCATTTGCATTTTCCACGACTTCTTTTACCGGTTGTGAAAATTCAAGCAAGTCTCAGAAAATGACCACAATTTCATCCAAACATCTATAGACTAAGAGTGGTAGATACTCTACTACTCTTTCATCTAGACTAATCCATTACTTGTTCCCGTTAGACGAAATAGGCGCCGTGAAGACTTCTATTCTTCATCAGTTAAATAAATAATGACGTGGGCGTCATTGTCTTTTCCTAAAACACATATACACAAGAGCGTACGTCCATAGCCTGCTCTATATGTAATGATATTATACTTGAAGGTGTTAAAGTTTGTTAATATTCTCTTTAGGGAACTGAAGGCTGTTACAGCCTGTACTACAATTGCTGGTATTCTTTGTGGTACTTTTGGTGAGTAGATTTATTTGTTAGTTTATTTTTAATGTTTTATTTGTTTACAGAACATATCCAACTGATTAAAACGCACTCATGTGCTCTCTCTCTCTCTCTCTCTCTCTCTCTCTCTCACACACACACTCACACACACACACACACACACACAGACGAGCGCCTTTTTTACATCTTTTAACTTGATTATGAAACTGGTGTATTTCAAGAAGGCGCGTCACATTACTATGGAGATTCGTTTATAGTTAATCAAACATGTTTCACGTATTTTCAGGGTCTGCATTTTCATAGTGATAGCTGTTGTAATTGGTATCTGTGGTGGAGTAGCACGTAAGCGCCATTTGGCAAGACAGAGAATTACAGTAACAACTACCCCAGTGGCCCCACAAAGCAACGGTAAATAGCTAAAGGAACCGTGTGTGTGTGTGTGTGTGTGTGTGTGTGTGTGTGTGTGTGTCGGTGTGTTTGAGAAAAAGATGAAAAAAGAAGATAAGGTATATTTGTTTTAAATGTTAAATACAAAAACAAGGAATGGCATATCACACACACATCTTTTGTTAAATACAGTTTATAAATAATTTCTTAAATTTTAGTAATAAACCTTATATTGACATCGAGCTTTGCTGTTTCAGTCGTGATGAGCGTTACCAACACTCACAATGTACAAAGTCACATGGTACAGCCGCCCCCTTACCAGGCTTACCAGCCCCCACCAGCATACCAACCCCCCAAGAGCAACTACCCCCCTCCCGGAATGGGAGCCTACCCACCCCCTGGGGGTTGTTACCCTGCTGGAGGAGGAATGGACCCTGCTTACCCACCGCCAGGTAACACTGTCGCTATCCTTTAGTTCGGAACTCTCACCCTCTGGTATTCTGTAGTAAATTAGTGTAGAAATACTCAACACTAACATTTTGCGAGAGGAACTTTGTGTGACGGTTTCTCACCTGTAACAATCGTGATTTGTTTCGGAGTGAAATGTCTTGAATCAGTGCAGCACAGCTGGTGACCCAGGTGAACTAAATCAGCATTTTAATTACTATGTTATTAAAAACTTAATAAATTGATTTTAATATAGCATAATGGATTTAAATAATTTACTGGGCCACATGTATCTGTTACATCAGCTAACGTCATTTAATCTACACTTGCGTGAAGTAATTAGATTAATTTACATAGTATAATTGCAGCAGTATTATATAAGAATAATGCTCTAACACAATAGGACCTTTTTTCTGTAATCCCCTCAAACATATGTTCAACGTAAAACAGGCTTTTTTGCCTGTCTCTTTTATGAAAAACTCATTGTCTAATACAATATTTAAAAAAAAAGATGGTTAAATACGTGAGGTATGCCTGCATACATGTATATCTCGTGTAATATACCGAGAATGTTTAAATCAACATCCACATTTTTTCATTGGCTAATTAAGTGTCATCTGGGTTCTTTCTGCATTCCAGGCCCACAGTACTCACAACCGTATGCCTCAACGGGGATTGGCCAGCCTTCGTATGGATACGCATTTCCTTGAAACTAGAGATTTTTAAAAACTATATCATATCATGTCCACAGACGGGAGCTAGCTTTCAGCGCAGGACAATGTTAGCAAGATCGCCTTCATCTTCCTCTTTTTCTAACCATATCCCTCTGTAGGGATGGCATGGTATTCTAGAGTAAACGAGAGGCCCTTCTAGTTTTTTAACTAGGTAAAGAGATGCATGGGCACATTCTTTTTTCTCGTCTTTCCCATTAAATAGCGAGAAAGCATTTTCGGATTATATGGCATCCCTTCTGAATACAGGAATGTTTTATTATATTAAGCTTACCTTAAGCAACTTTAAGGCAACTTATATTTAGTAAGGATTAAGACAAATATTTGTTTTAACCTTCCGATGCAAACAAACGTAATCCGCGAAACAGAGCCTGCATTGTAGGGATATTCTTCCAGCTTATATCATTATGTATTTATCTTGAAATATTTCGTAAATGATGTTTTTATCTGTGATATTATTTGGATCGTATATGCCACATTAGTCGGTGTTTTAGCTTCAATGTTACTTGCAAGTGTAGCGACGTCTGCCATTTTTTCGTGTAAAACTGATATACTATTTTAAAGTATGTGCTCTCCGTGGGGGGTAACTTTTATATTCAGTATATTTGGAAAAATATAATAATGGCTTCAACTTATTGAATCTCCCAAAAGCAAACTTTGCATGTTTACAGCAGGTTGTCAGAATTGTTTAACTGTTATCTGGTAATGTAATACGTCAGGTGTAATCCAACGCTTCTATTTTTATTCCAAGCTCGTGTTTTATTCAAATGTATACATATAATGTATATATATGAAGGAGTTGTGTGAATTTGCATTTCTAGTAAATTTACCACGAAGAAATGTGTTATAAGAACCATAAGGTATAAACAACTGGGTAATCTTAAGTTCTTCCAGCTAGCCAGCCACCGTTTTAAGGTAGGCCTAGCCAAAAAACCCTCCTGTTTATATACGACACTTACAGATTTTCTAATAAATATGTTATTTTCTCATATCATCGTGCTTATCGCCTGCTGTTGTATATGATCACTTCATCCACGCGGGTTTATTGACATAAAAAACAAAACAAAACAAAAAAATGACAATAAGGTTGAACAGAGTCAACAGATTATCGAAAATTATGATACAGTAGTTTTTCGCTTCATTGTGCTTGTTGTAATTTTTGTTGTTACTTTGACCAAGGAGTTATAACACTCCTTGCTTTGACCATCCTCGTACCGCTTGATGAAAATGATCTTGAAATATCAAACCAAAATCTTTTTATCACGCCTGAGCGCAGTTCAGTTCATATCATACGTTTGTCTTCGTACGTTTCCCAATTATTCCTTAAATATATATATACAGACTGAAATTTATTGATAACTATAATGAGTTCTGGTGCGATGTGACCATTGGAATACTATCACGTTTCCAATGATTTGTACATGCAATCCACGTCCTACGTGCAAGCCTATCCTTACGTCACGCTAACCTTCACTTATAGGAATCTAATGGAGGGCGGATTTTCTGTTAAAAGGACCCTCATTTTCGTCACACCCGCTCCGCAATTCTGCAATGTTCAGGGACGGGTCAAGCACACAGCCTTATCTTTACGTGTATATAGCGGCATCATAGACTCCTTCCTTGCTTCTTGTTTGTTTTTGGAGAAGGGGAGAAATAACGCTGTTCTATTTATTTACGAAAAATAAGGCAAGCTGTAGATACATAGTGTGTGATCCGTCTGTGCTTCAAGAACATTATGGGCTGAATAAAAAGAACGTCCCGTTTTAGCCTTTCAAAATATAAAATAAAAAGGCGCTGTGAAAAATGATGAGCTTCAAATAGTAGGTCCCGCAATTACCGGTAGCTCAACTTAAATAAGTGGATTTGGACGTTATATTTTCAATCTTTGTTAACTTCATCAGTCAACTTCATCAGTCAAAATCAATATTTTTTTATTTTTTCAAACCACTCATATTTCACCCCTCACGTACCCGGGTCAGAATACGGTAAACACGAATCAGCTGATGCTCTTGCTGAGATAAGCGTTCAAGAAAAGTGGGCTCACTGTCAATAAGCTCAGTGAGGCTGAAGGTTAACGAAGACGAAAGGTAGGCTGTCCATCTCTCGTCCACTCTCATTAGATAACATGCTGAGGGTCATCTATTATAACCAACTCTTAACGCGGTAAACTCGGGCATTAACTGATACAAGGGGGCGAAATTTGCCCAAGGTTTTCTTGCTATCTTCCCCAACGTTAACATAACGTGTCGCCTGTGATAAGTAGAAGAATAAGGTCTTAAGCGAAGGTGAGAGCTGATATCAGTGCAACTTTGACGGCAGCGCTAAAACCCATTTTGCATAGGACGGCGTCCTTTCTGCGTCCGTTGTGCGACCATGATGCTGGCTGTTGTCGTAGAAAGGAGGTACAAGAACTGCTTTAGTTGCAGAATGATGAGGATGAAAATGGACAAATATTTGTTCTTCGAAACTGTAAAAAGAGAAATTAATGTTAATATTATTGTATGTTATCATTAATTATGATAACCCTAACATATTGTAATACTCCATAACTTAATAATATAAATTAACACACTTTATCTCTTATCAAAATCGCAATTAAGGCTCTCCTGTAGTCATTTTCCATAAGCAATCTGTTGCACCCTGTATGTTTTCCCAAAGAAAAGCATGTGCATTCTTGTGAATATACTTAGTTAAAAGAAAATCGTAAGTTTTTATAAAAAGTTTCTTTGTCAGAGAAGTTTTTCGATAAATATATATTCTTGAATACAGAAGACATTTAAGACTCACAAGTGTGATTTATGGCGAAATAAAGATATATATGTATATGTATATCTTTATCAATTCAGGTAATTCTTGTTATCAGTCTAGTTGAGGTAACCGGGTAGTGTGCGTTATTTTAACCCGCTTCGTACAAGATGCGCTGCGGCCAAAATGCACAGAACGCAGACGTCCGCATTTTTAATCAACAGTGGTTGATAAATGTTGCATTTCACTTTTTTAATCTACAACTCATCAGATTAGTAAAATACCTCTTGGATTTAAGTGGCAGTAACCATTTTACACGACACGTGAAATTAAAAAAAAAAAAGAAATTGTAACTCTGAAAGTATATGATGAAGTTTCATCCACACGTGACGTCATAGCGAGAAAAGTTCACGACATTGGCTCTGAAAACATGTATTAAGACTTGACAGTATCACTTTATGCTCGTATGTCCATCATCTTATCAACTCACTTTAACTGGCTAGTCAATCCCACGTGTTGTGGCGCGTGTGTTTGTACACGTGCTGTGTTTTACATAAATACAGCTTCATATTTGGTTTTTAGTTACAAGACCGTTTCTAATTGCCGGACGCTACTCGTCCTTTTTGCAGTGTACACGCAAGAGAAAAAATGTCAGAATTTCACGAAGTGGACGAAACGCATGAACGGGCGCCCCTGATCTCCAAAGATTTTGCAGAGACGTCACTCTCTAATAGAAAAACAACCAGCTATAGCGCCCTGAGTATTGAAAAAGGACACCCGAATGGAGGATTTCACGGCAGTTCCATGGGACACGACAAACAGCCCAATGGCTTTATGAACGGGAAAGTCAGTCACGGTGGAGGTGAACACGGGTATATGTTCGGTGGACGGAAAAGAGTCCTATCGACTAGACTCAGTTTCTCCGAGTCGTTCGATAAAATCAAGCTTACCTGGCACGATATCAATGTGTTTGTCCCGCCGCCTGAGCGGAAGTGGTTTCATTGCCTTAGAAACGGAGACGGGAGAGCCGAACCTGGGGCCAAGCAGATTCTGAGCAATGGTAAGAAAACATTTTTTCTCTTTATTTCCTTCTTATCTTTGGTTATCTCTAAAACCAAATTGAGAGATGAAAGTGGGATATGATGCTTTTTATCCAATTTCCTTGTGTTTTTCTTTTTTTTTAATTTGCTATAACATTATTTATAAAGCGCTAAACTGAAAGTCTTGATGTTTCTGCATGTTTCTCTTTTTCCATTTTTTTTCAATATTCAGGGATCTAAAATAGTTAGAACGTTTCAGGATGCTATAAGTTAGGTTACTGTAGTCAGTAATATACATAGCAATCTCAAATAAGTGGACTTCAGATAAAAATTAACGATATATGATCATTGCACAAGTTCATTTCACTCCAAATTTCAGAGCCACATAGACTGGCTTTCATTCAATTCCCTTGTAAATGATTAATTTCATTTGCTCCAAGGGTAAAAAAAATGGGACGCTTAAGTTAAAAGTGTCATTTTTACATGTCTTTTTTTGGCCAATAACTTAGGTTTCAAAAATATTTGTCAAATAATTTTAGGGTTCTGTGAAGTGGTTGAAGTGGGTTACTACAACCTTTAACCTACCAAAGAACACCAAACCAGAAATATGCAGATAAAACGCTATTTGGTCATAAAAATATTTTATATAAACAGTTTACAAATTCCTCATCTTTACACGAACTTGCATCATGTGGGCGTTCGAAAAGCGTTTAAAAACAAGGGTCAGGAGCACCAAAGACGGTCACATTCATTGACAGCCTCCCCAGCCAAGTCAATCCCCAATTTTCACATTGCTACACAAGTAAGCTTATCAATATGCACACTACACTTAGAGTGTTCACTTGATAGAAGTGTTTGTTAACGTTGATAGCGCGTTCAGTCTTACTTGGGGAGAAAACAGAGATTTAAGATCCGAGATCTCTGGCTCTTAGCCAAGGATAACTTTTTTTTCGTAGACGGCGTACCGGGTATCAGCTCTCACTGTACCAAATGTTGCGTTAGATTTAGATCTTTCTCTATACAGCGTCATCAATGTACAATGTATAAATACACATGGTTTAAGGCGAATTAAGTCAACCCTTTTATTGGGTCAGACATACGTCAGTAAATATGACATGACCAATGCCGACTACTGTCAAATACAGTTCCTTTATATCGTCAGACCACAAACAAAAATATTTTATCATACATTTAGTTCAGTCACATTGGCGGATACCGTAGGGGGTAGTAAATGTACATCCCTTTTACTTCACTAAATCACGTTTATATATGGAACTTAGATTTGTGCCGTTCTTGTGTGTCATTCTGTAACTTCAGGCTTTTCCCGCTAGTCTTTCTACAAATGAGAATGCCCAAGATGTACAGTTGCTGAAAATACTCCACAGCACTTGGCGTTCAAGGTTTCGGGTCTTATAGGGGTTTATCAGTGGGGCCGTTTACCTTTAAAACGCGTCATTTTCCAGCCGTATCATAAGATGAAAGCGACAATACGTTATCTACGAGGCGATTGATTTCTTTTCCGCACCTTTGGAGACCTTTAGATATACAAGTGTAAATATAACTACTATTTATAAATGACAGGTGCGTAAGAAGGGTGATACAGCTATCAAGAAAGTGCCTCATCATAGTTATGTGCACAAATATAGGGTCAGAAACTGGACCAGGTTTTCCCTCTGTGTGTGACGAAATGACTTGCAACCCTAGACGGTTTCACTTAGTCAAAGATTGGGCAAAACACTTATATTTTCTCATGGCCAGAAATGCGCAGCATTCACGCGATACGCGAGGGCGCTACAGTAGGGCTTCACGTGACTCAACTAGCCAATCACAGCACAACAATGGCATCGCACACAGACTATGTGATAAGTGCTCAGCCCATTGTCAAGTAGTGTTAGTTCATGGTAACAAGCGTCTGACATGTGCAGAGAAGTTTATTGTAATATATATTGTTATTATTGTTACATTATTAAATCTAACTCTGTATCCAAGTAGTAACTATCCTGTACCAAGTCAGGTACTGATGATGTGCAGAGGTCGTGTATTCAATAATAAGCCATTACCACTAATTTATAACTTTAATTTTGTTTAATATGTTATTCTTGAAAGAGTTCATGAAATATTATTTTAATTTGTTAAATCGTGATCTTATTCTTTTTATATTCAAATAATTGAATAATGTGGGTAAAATTGGTCTTCCACTTCTTATTTGCATTTTTCCTTTACTACAAGATTTTTTTTTTGGAACAGTTGCAGCATTAAAATTTAAAATAAATAGCAATTTGAAAAATAAAGCATTTTGCATTATTATTAAATGATGATAGGAATTTTGGATTAAGAGATTAGTTAAATACTGAGGAGTGATATTGTCAGTCAATTTATGAATCTGATAATATGATTGAAAATACTGTTTGAATGGGGAATACCCGCTTTAAGGGTCTGCCGCTAGATGGCGTGGAGGTGAAAGCAGTCCTTCTTAAATCTCGCAGAATCTCGCTCACGGTTTTACACCAGAGTTTAACATGGAGCGTGTGCACGCGTCGCTGACAGTGAACCAACTCAAACGCAATTTACTTGAATGTGGTGCCATAACATCTGGATGAAAATGTGAATTGACTGAAAGGTATGTGTTTTCTTTTCATTTAGTGCTTGAAAAACACGAATGCTAACTATTTTCCTTGAAAAAAAACCGAACATTAGTCGAGGTGTGTGTGTCAAATCTGACGTTATGTACATGTAGACTACTGTAGGTACGAGTAGGCCTACGCTCATATTTTGTTTTAGTAGCACGAAAGACGAAGATTGTGTATACTTAGTAAATGTACTTATTTATTTTCTTTATAAGGTTACCCAAAGAAGGCCCATATATTGGGGGCAAAGCCTGAAACTGTCGATTTCAGGACCCCAGGACAGCCAGCTTCAAGAGCAGGATAAAATGATTACTTCAGGAATCTTACCCGTCACTTCACATCAGCGACAATTGATGTAGCCACCAGTTATGCCTACCCTAAAACTGGCTTACAGGCGGCTGTGATGGACAACAACTATTGCCAAGTGCCATGAAAACAATAATGCATGGATAGAGGGAATGATGTAAGTGAAAACAGAGGTCTAATATTAAGAATCGGGCCCAAATATGAGAAAGAATTATCAAACTAGGTGATGTCTGACTTCATAGAAATATAATATTGTATGTTAATTATTTAATGCTGTAACCATCTACCATGCTTTAATGGGATATGAATATTTCAGGTTGAGGAACAAACAGCGAAGGACACTGAGCATAGCAAGTTATAACAAGGAAAGAGCGCAATCTGACACAAGGAGAGACAATGGCAGATCACTGCTTCCAGGTTTGGAGAGATAATTGCAGCCACAGAGAAGAAGTATATAAACAAACAAAACCATTGTAGACACATGACAGTTGGACCCGGACCTGATTTCCCCTCTTTGNCGTGTATTCTTTTTGTGGCAACTCGTCTATCTTTAGGGGCCTAATTACTGTGCCTGGGTCAAGTTGTAACTGTCCCTTTAACATGGAAGGTGTGTTGACATGGGCAACCCTTCACTTCAAACGAAGCCCTGAATCCTCAAGAAAATTATGCCCACCTTGCCGACTTTGACATTCAGGTACACAACAATACTGAGGCATGTTTATTAAGGCCAGTACCACAGTCCAACGTATACAATATCCAACATGGCGACTGTGGAAGGACTGAATTCACACTAGCGACACCTGGCGCCAAGCGGGCTGGTATTCCTCATTCTTGGCCTTGCACTGTGCATTTTCACATTTGTGCCAAGTGATTTTTCGGACTCCATTGTACAGTGGTAAAAGTTCTTCAATTGCTATGAAATTTTTTTATCAGAGTCTGTATGGTGCTGCTATCTGCTGGTGCTATCGGCAACAAATTAGTTTGCCTTTGTTTCTGAGTGAATCAACGTCTAAAATCACTATTTCTGAAAATATTTACGTTTTGCTGAGGGTGGGCTAGGCAATGCACAGCACACTTTTTAGTACGTGTGTACAACAGAATTTTTTAAAAAACCCTAGCGATATTTGGTCAGGAGTTGCTTGAAGCATAGCACAGAGTTGCTGTCTATCGGCATCAGGCCGTTAGTTTGTCAATTATCGTGAATTACCCACGAATCGCGAACCCATTCATTTCCTATGGCAATCCAGCAACTCATTAAAAGTGCACGCATGCGCAGTGGGCTAAGCATGATGTCATGCAGCGCATTTCTGGGGATGACAAAATGGAGACCTTAAATTGCCCTTTAAAATGTGTATTATTGCATTCTTCATGCCACCTATCAAGGACCTCCAACAACTAGTTGTAGGTACTACTACTACTATTATTTGTTTGGTATTTTAAGAAATAATTTTAAAAACGAAATGTAGACAACTAAAATCAGTGTTCTAGAGCAAAGATATTAAAAGAGGACCCTGACACGACAAACACATGACATTTTAGAGAATCAGACGATTTATCAATAATGTATGTTGGTCAAAATGTAATGAAGACAGCCTTTTTACTCCATAAAATTTCTTTTTTCGCCCTTACAGTAAGCGGTTACGTGGAACCTGGAACACTTCTAGCTATACTGGGGGCAAGGTGAGACATTTCACGATATTTCCCAATCAGAAGTTTCATGTCATCTTCATAACAGTGGTAGTTCCTGAAGTTTACTAGAAGTAGACAGAATATAATATAATGCGTTAAGATATTGACCGTTTGAAGTAACTGGAGAATGAAGTAAAATAAAATATCTGTCTCGAACCCTCTGTCTCGATCCAGAATCCAAAATATAAGAAGATAAAAGGTAGTCACATATCTTAAAAAGTCAATCCCAAAGTTAGACACAGATTTATAAATCGCCACCTTACTTGATTGTTTTTGTACCAACAGCGGTGCTGGCAAAACTACCCTCCTGAACGTGCTCAATTCTCGCAACCGTGGTAACTTGATTGTTGATGGCGACATACGTGTCAATGACAAGTTGATAGGCAAAGGGATCACCAGTGTGTCTGCGTACGTCCAACAGGATGACGTATTCGTAGGGGCGCTCAAGGTGAAGGAACACCTGTGGTTTCAGGTTTGTATTCTTGCTCTCTTTAAGTCCTCTTTCCTTTTCTGTGATCTGGTCTCTTTTCTTTCTTTTCTATATTGTTTTCTTTTATTTTTTCATTCTATTTTTCTGTTTTCTAAAGTATTGTTTTCTTTTCCCCCTATCTTTCCGTCTCTCTCTCTCTCTCTCTCTCTCTCTCCTTTCGGTACGGGTTCAGATTTATTACAGTTGATCAAGCATAGGACCGGCAGCCAACTGATAACACTGAGACTTACACTGTTCTCCATAGGCAATGCTCCGCATGGATCCAGAGATATCTTTTAAAGACAGGGAGAGAAGAATGAAAGAAGTGATGCATGAGGTGAGACAACAGTATTAGCACAATCGGCGCAGTCACACCTATCACAGTTTAAACTGTAAAAAAATGTTAAAGGCATACCTTTCTACCCGGAGTTTGATGCCTAGTGTGAAGCCAGTCAACTTTTCTTTATCCTTATGCACTGTAGATAATGAAGGGCAGATCAAAACATTTTTAGTTCTAATGTTCAATTTGTCCGTTGTTCATTTCTTCATCACTCTTTTTTTTCTTCCAGATGAGTCTGACCAAGTGTCAGGACACCAGTATAGGTATACCAGGGAGGGTGAAAGGCATTTCTGGAGGCGAGATGAAGAGGCTGTCATTTGCCGCTGAGGTCAGTGAGATGTTATTTTTTCCTTTTAAAAAACTCTCTCGGGGGGCGATCGTCTTGTATATAAATCGTGATATTCAGAACTGAAAGATCTACACATGCAATGTATACAACGGGTGTATTTTTTACCAGAAAGCAGACCTATGCATTGTAGAATCTTTCTCCTTCTTAATCTATTAACATTTGGTGAACGAAGTGAGTTTCCAAAAACTTTTGAAATCAGAGTAACCAAGTGCCCTATATAGCCATTTGCTCTAATTGCAGTTGCTGACCAACCCCCCTTTGATGTTTTGCGACGAGCCGACCTCGGGGCTGGACAGCTACATGGCCCAAAATGTGGTGGACACACTGAAGAGAATGGCAGCTACAGGGAAAACTGTCGTCTGCACCATCCACCAGCCGTCGTCCGAAGTGTTTGCCATGTTTGATAGGTGATGCTTCTTTGACTTGATCAGGCAGAAAACATCAAATAATGTTAAAAAAAACGGCACCACTGCCATGCGTTCCTTTGAGACACAAAAACCAACATTTTAATCGTAATTGATTACTATGACGTTTTCCCTTTTAACAAAAAACCGTAGTATTCAATGGTTAGATATGAAATGAACTTAAATGTTTATGTACATTATTGAAGAATATTGCTAATGGCCGAGGGCAGAGTGGCATACATGGGCCCAGCAAAGGACACATTAGAATACTTCAAGAGGCGAGTAACAGTTTTGATATCAGTCAGAGTGTTGTTAAAATTCATTTTTACGTGTACTACACGTACAATGTAGGCAGGATGTCATTTTCTTCCAAATCATACGATGCACGGTACAATATTTCTCAAGATTGAAAAGTGATTATTCTAATAGTCAGATGTGAAGTATTTTATTTTTAACCATTTAACGGAAAAGACTGGCGTTAGTATTTGGACACACGTAATGTTTTTATTCATTAACCTTTCCTTATTCATTTCTTATGCAAAAAAGAATTCACATTACAAACATTGTCAAAATACAAACAGGCAAGACTAGCTGACAGTACATGAATTGACTTGCTGTAACGCTTGTGTAATCTCTATGTTTTAATTATATTTTAACTCCGTGTGTAGCGGTGGCTTCACCTGTCCCGTAAACTATAACCCGGCTGACTTCTTCATCCACACCCTGGCTATTGTACCGGGAGAGGAGGCGGAGTGTCAGGATATCGTCAAGGTTGGTTTTTAAAATTTTCTTATTGATTTTATTCTCTCTTGTTTGAACCTTCAACATTGTGCTGTAGAATGGCATCGCATAAAGTTACCAGAAAAGTGACAATCTGATGGAATTGGTTTGATTGGACGGTCCATAAACTTGCATTCATTTCCAATGGCAGTATCAAAGCTGAACAGCAAAGCAGAATAAAGCAGAAAGTAAATTTGACTACCTTTCAATACCGTTGGTCCTCCAGTGAAAGCTACCTGATAAACGACCGAAATGTATTCAATTTAAATCTGTCTGTCCCATCACATAGTGCCTTACTTCTCATTTCTAAGGTTAAAATACCTTTGTTGGATATTATGTGCCATATTTTACCTATTTCTCTGTCTATTTCTCACACTTTACTCACCTTTTTGTGTCTGTTGTTTCTTTCAGCGAGTTTGTCATCAGTACCAGAACTCGGATTACCGTGACGCCGTCTTGAAGAAGGTGGCCAAAAATTATTCTGATCACACCCAGGTAAGTTTAACGTCCAAAATGTATTTTACAAAGGGTCTTAACTAATTTCAAAACTGGTTAATATGAGGAAGAGCACATCCGTTATCTTAAAATAAATCTTTTATAGATGCTTATAACTTAAATTATATGCGAAAATGAATTCAATTTATATTAACTTAAATGCGGAACGGTACCCGAGACACATCATTTCCATTTCAAATAAAATATATTCTCTTGTAAATTATTTTTCAGTATGAAGAGGCATTTGCAGACAGATCACCGTAAGAAATATTTACATATTGCTTACTTTCCACAAGATTGCTTTATCTTTTTTGTATTAAATACAACCACTAGCTAAAGCTTACATTATCAAGTGGTCTGAAGATCGAAATATATTATACTCCGTGTAACTTGGCTCTTTGAGCCCGGATTTCGAGTTACAGGTAGGCAATGTTAATATTAATTTCAGCGTATAAAATGAATAAGCTTGTACCTTAAAAATTGTTCAAGATAAACGATACTCTGAATCAATATAAGGTGTTACCATCATTCCACTGTTACCAGATACAAGGCCACGTGGCTTGAACAGTTTCGCGCTGTCACCTGGCGGTGTGGTCTGTCTAACATACGAAACCCAGGAATTACCAGAACGAGGCTGTTCCAGACATTGGTAAGTTTTAGCAATCACTAGTCTAGATTATAATTGATATAATATCTGATATGTTCACATTCCGCTAAGCTGTTTTTTTCTTAAAGAGTGATTTAAATTTAATTAATTAAGTTTGATTAATTAACATTGATTAAAACAATAAACTATTAACGGACAACAATGTAACTGTGCAACGTCTGTTGTTCAACTAGTAGTTGTAAAACGTGTTTTGAGTCCATTGGTCCTTAAAGTAAGTGGAAATATACCAGTAAATTATGGTGGCTGACGCCTGTCTATACTAAGTGTAGACATAATTTGTCTTATAATTTGCTGCAGGATACAGTTTTATTTTTTATAGTCATAGCAAGACTATACATGTTTATTAAAAATTGGCTTGTGACAAGGGAAAAAACAATTCTGTTTGATGCTTAGAAATGTCTCTTCAGTTCATTTCACTTCTTGTGGGCGCCATCTATTGGCAGCAGCCGAACACGTCTACTGCGGTACAGAATATTAACGGTGCCCTCTTTATTTGGATAACTAACATGACAGCTGCTAATTGCTTTAATGTTGTGAACGTAAGTTTTTTATGGTTAATTGGCGTCACACTCCAATTTTCAAGAAAGGACATCCCATGTATCCGTACTTACTGACTAATGTGATGAAGCTAATGGAAAACCTTTCTGAAAACAAGGGTATGACGTCATTTAAATTTTGAAAAACAGTCTCCAAAAATTTACTTCATGTTTTATACCATCATTTCAGTTTATCGCCGTGGTTGTCGGTTTGATTTATTGGCAGCAGCCAAACAGCCAAGCAGCCGTTCAGAACATCAATGGAGCCATGTTTCTGTGGCTGACCAATATGACGTTTGCCAACTGCCTCAATGTTGTCAACGTAAGCGTCATTTGGAGCTTCACTGATGTTTACACATAAAACTAATTTACACAGCCAGCGTTCTATCTGATATAAAATAAATATATAAATATATTACGTTCATTTGATTCCCCAAGAAGACCAAAACAATGTGGCCAACCGAAACTTTTTAACAAATGTCATTCATTTTTTTCTGAGTGGCTCAAATGTTGACAATTTTTTGCATTCCCGTCCGTTTTGGATGCAATGATGTCACCAGTACTTAAGAATGGGCAATTTTACATTTATTCGATGTTAGAATTTAAAAACGGTATTTCATGATGATACTTGTGAAAAAGGGTAAAAGCTAAACCGTTCTGAAATGGGTTCCGGTCAGCCACAGAAACCGAACACTTTTCCTTTTAACAACATTTTGGCAATACTTCAAAACTTTATGAATGTTTTACAAAGTTCTCTTGTTATATGTACACAATATTTTATTTCTCGTTTTACTAATTTGATTAAGCCTATATATTATTTGAATTTACTTATACTACACCGACTGGTCGTGTGCAACGTACATTACCTGCATGTGAGATCTGCCCTTATTATGTCTGTTATATGATATGATATATATGATAGTGTCGATACCGAGTGTACTTGCACTTCCAGACGTTCCCATTAGAAATGCCTGTATTCCGCAGAGAACACCACAACGGCATGTACAGAGCCGATGTTTACTTCCTGGGCAAAATGGCTGCTGAGGTAGAATTTCTATTAAAAATGCTAACCACAAGAACGACGGCACTGAAATTTTGTGATGTATTTTGTGATGAATTTGATTGATTGGTTGTGGATGTTAGCGTTATTTTAATTGATATACAGTAATTCACTGATGAAAGTGTTCATTAGCAGTCAATGGTTGTGTAGGCAATCATTGCAGCAAGTTTGTTAATTTTTTTCTTGTTATCATCATTATTATTATTATTATTTTTTTTTTTTGGGTGGGGGGGATACAAAATATGGTAAGATGTTACTATGGCGTGTAACATATACAGGTACAGACGTTTTCCAACTCGGTAATATAATCATTTATGACATTTTTCACAAAATATACTATTTAAAAGTAGAAACCACTGGTAACTGGTTACAATGTACCATCTGGCAAGTGTTAAAGTGTGGTTAGACATCTTCACATTACAAATGTAAAATTTTCCGATAATGTTGAGTGGAATTCAATTTCAGCTTCCCATATTCCTGTTCCTGCCAGTGATATTCGTGACTATCAGCTATTGGATGATAGGTAGGCCACGTGTTATTTACTTTCTCTCATGGTGGAGTTTGTGAAAATACTTTAATGGTAGAAGTGCCATTTTTTGAAAAAATTGCAATCAGTATATTTTTACCGAAATGTTTTTGAAGTGGTTGCATTTATCAAAGTCGCTTTCTCTGTCTGGATATGAAATTTTATTTTCTTCACAGGTCTGTACCCGACGGCCGATGCCTTCTTCTACTCCATGGCAGTTGTGACACTAGTAACTCTGGTCGCCGTTTCTTGGGGTAAACAAGACTTCACATTGTTAAAAAAAACTTCCGAAATGTTTTAAAAAAATAAATAGTATTCCCATTATATTAATTCTGTTATCCTTTATATGTACGACTTTGAATGTATGCTAGTACGTGTAATTGTGTTTTTTGACAATTTTCTTCACAATTAATCTTCACAATAAAACATCTTTACTCCAGGTTACATTGTATCATGCGTCACAGACGACATTGTCATCAGTACAGCTATAGCGCCACCTTCAATAATGCCGTTACTGCTGTTTGGTGGGTTCTTCTTGAACAACGCGTGAGTAAAAATTGGCTTCATTTTCAATAATGTTTGCTGCCTCAGCCCCCCCTTCTCTCACCCCACCCCCGCAATAAATGGCAGAGCCATTAAGAATTAAGACTGGACACATGCTCCGTCTTCTCAAATGGCCAACATCTCCTGACCAAGGCCATTCAAGTATTTTACCCTCATGTGCTATGATCGTCCTATATAAGCTGCTTCCATATCCCATGCAGATCCATCCGTTGGGCAATATCCTCTTGCTTGTGAGATACAGGACAATGTTGCTATTTTCATTTGGTTATTTTTGCTCATTATTATTTCGTAACCTAATTATTTTACACACTGACATTACCAAAGAACTTACAGCTAAATATCTATATGCAATAATGTGATTTCAAGAGACGTAGATGACCAATGAAAACTTGGCCTGAAATGGGTTTTGTAAATCAAAGAACATTTCCAAAATATTGTGTCTTGTGATATTATTATTATTATTGTTATTGTTATTGGACAGAAATTGGTACTCACATATTTCAAATGTGTTGCAAGCCATGTTATATAATCGCACTCTATTTTAGGTCTATTCCTCCGTACTTTACATGGCTGAGTTCCATATCGTGGTTTACATACGCCAATGAGCTTTTGGTTACTAACCAATGGGCGAATTATGGGAACATTAGTAAGATATATCTTTATTTGTCGTAATATTTTATTTGGCAATTTTTTGCTGTATTCTGTGAACACGAATCACGTAGAATTCGGTTGCTTAGCAATCTGTCGTTGTTTAGGTGGTATAAATGATAAAAAATGTCGAAAAAGTAAATCGGTTTGGTAAACTCTCAAAACGAAGTAAAGGGCTTACGTTTGTAGGGGGAAAGGTGAAAGAATAGTTTAAAAGTTAAAATTTTAGATGCTGTCCATTAAAAGTCTACTATCCGGCACTTGTTTTATCTCCGCCTGTCTCTTTCTATCGCTCTCTCTCTCTCCCTCTCTTACTGTGATGCCACATTACAATTCCAGCTTGCGCAGGAGCGGACAGTACACGATGTTACCAAGACGGACATGACGTCATAAGCAGCCTTGCCTTCACAGTGGTAATGTTCTGTTGATTTTTCAATATGTTGTATTAATAATACATGGTGCAATGTGTAAAATGTTAAAACAATTGTGTAACAGACAAAATATAAACGAAAAATGAATATATTTTTGTGATATCTAAATCTGTGAAATTGTTGTTGGTCGTGTGTTGATAAAACAGCTTGATATTTTTTTTCTTTTTCAGTCGGATGAAACGCTCAACTGGGTCGTTCTTGGTGCTATGATCCTCATCTTCAGAATATTTGCTTTCATTTGCTTTCTACTGCGATCGTACAAAAAGTAGACTGACCTTCGATAGCGTTTTCCTGACGCAAAAAACTTTAAAAAAAGGAGGATGCAGCAAACGTGTGCTCCACCAACGTTTTTCTTTTAATTATCCGTCCTCTCTGTTGATTCGTTTAATTTACATATATATATTTATGTTTTGTTATTCATCAGTTTTTATTCCCATATTTGTCTTATTATTTGTTTATTCAATTAAATTTTATGCAAAATACCATCATCTCTTGCTCTGACACTGAAGGCAAAATTTTAAAATTTATCTAGTAGTATACCTCGTGTGGTGAGCTATGACATTGAAACGAGGCGAGTTGACGGTCAACAATCTCGGAAATGGTACAAGACAAGAAATGACGTGGATTTTTACACGTGGTTATTCTTATAATTCTTTACAGTACTAGTGACAGCGATGGACTTTGCTATACATTACGTATGGACATATACTGTTGGCAGGATTATTTCAGTAGTAACGCGAAGGAAACGTGACGTACGTGGAATCTTTGCCGATAGCGACAAGCATGTTCATTATACCTGTAAGGTATATTACAAATTTACTAGAGACAAAACAAGGTGTATGTATGATATATATGCAAGCTTTATTTAGTGTTGATATCTTTAATAACAGTAAATACGTAGACTGAAAATAAAGTCATATGCTTTCAATATAAAGGCATCATTCTACTCTACCTGTAAAATAAAATAAGTACAAATTTGGTCATACAGTTATATTCATACTTCTGTAAAAAAGCACTTTTCATAACAAAGGGTATATTCAGCAAAATTGTCCTTTTTCATCCCTTGGCGAATTTTCTTCAGTAGTGTAATCATGTGAGAAATGATCGCATGGCTCTTCGTGGTTATAACGCAATTTCTGGTGAACATTTTCACAAGATTAACTGTCGTAACAATAGCACAAGCCTTAAAAAGTCCTTTACCATTTACACTGGGTATTTAGGTGGCCAAATAATTTTACACAATTTTTACTTCACCAGAAATATAATCATAAGTATTACTTTAACGTACAGTTTATTTTTATTGCACCACGATTAGAGTAGAAATGTTATCAAAGACAGAATGATGACTTTGTTTTAGAATTGCTTATTTTAAGGCTTTGCGAACAGAAACCGTGGTTCAATTTTTGACAAACATGACTCGTGTTTTTTAACCTCTCGTGAGCAATTTTCATCTGGCACTGATCCAATGTCAATGCGACGATACCCTCTTCTCATTTCAACCGTTTGTGCAACCGTGCTTGTGGATTCGGGATCTGATTCCTGGAATGAAAATTTACATTTGGTATCACATGTTGGCATGATGTGGCCTAGTTGATTAAGACATACTGATCAAAATTAAAGAAAATGACAAGAGATATTTACTGCAACTAAAACAATTCCTCTCTCGTTCTTTCTTTCGTTCATTCTAAACCATTATTGTAAAATAACTGGAAAAATATCTCCAGTAGGCGTATAAGATTAAAAACATATGAATTACCACTGGACGTCTAACATAGATATGTTCCCCTACGTACAAAATGTCACCCCCACCACGTTTACGCGTACTGCTACAAGGGCACCCATAGTTTTAACTTAAAATAAAAACTAGGAAACCGATCGTCGTGTACATTTGCGATGCGAGTAGTATGACATTGACCTACCCAGCATAAGCATTATATACTTCAACGCAAGTTTTTTGATTTTGAGGCTCCTAAGTGAGAGGGATACATTTTGTACCAAAGGGTTGACATAGATAAGAGTTTTGACCCGCCGAATAGCCAAAAGGTTGGGTTGTTCCATGAGAATCAGTGGAGGGTTAGACATCATGACCAAATAGGAACATTGGCAAGATTGCCTGGTAAGGCCGACCAAAGGAAACAACACCCAGAGAAGAGAGATTGCCAATACGCCTCCCTCGTAGAAAGCATTTCGTGATATTTAAAAGCTTGAGTAAACTTTTACAAAAACAAACCATTTTCTGAGTTTACCGTCAGAAGACGTTTGCACAGTTGTCGATTTGGCAGGGTTTCTGTTAGGAGACCAGCGATCACTGCCAGGAACCGTGTACGTCAAATCAGATGGTATACCAGAACTCTGGCATAGACACCAGGCAATGACTGGGCATTGACAGTGTTCACAGACAAGAAGTGGTTAAAGGTTATCAGGATTATGGACGCTTACGGATTTGGAGAACAGTTGGTAAGAAGTATCTTTCAAAAGTTCTGCCTCTGGTCGACAGGACGCACCCCACATACGTCTTGTACATTGGATGTATTGGCTACCATGGTGAAGGCGAGCTCTCAGTGGTCACGAGAACCTTAATAAAGACCCATGCCACCAAATACTGGAAAGGAAACTAAAGAAATTATGTCGGTAATATATTTGGTGGCCATGATCACTCATTTATGCATCAGTCTGATAACGCTACTCCACGTAAAAACCAACGCAACAGTAGGCTTTTTATATGCCAGCCAGACCCTGACCCCGATAGCTCAATCCCTATATCAGAACCTCATTAAAAATTTTCTCGGAAATGGATAACTGAGGCATAATTCTGCAAACAAAAATGGCCTCATCTTATCTTTGCACCGTGTGTGAAAAGCCATCATTGAGCAAAAGTTACAGAGCTTTTTAACCCCACGCACAGACGAGTCAGATGGGTCCTCCAATCCTGAGGACACTGTTCAAAATACCAAAATGTGACTTTGAATTTTACTATTGTTAGCTTCTTCGTTGGTATTGTAACGATTTTACATAGCTTTAATTCATGGAAAAATTACTGCAGTAAGCTATAGCCTTTTGTTTACATTCGGCTAGTGTGTTGTTGAACTTTGAACCTTAAGTTGGAATGGCTTGTAAGTGGTATCAGTTTACTAAAGAGGGGATTGTGGTGTCCAGTAGAGGGGTTGGCGGTCAACCCTTCAAGGCCGTCCACTTTTCCTCTGCCTGCCAATCAAAGTGGCGGTCAACCATTCAAGGCCGTCCACTTTTCCTCTGCCTGCCAGTCAAAGTAGCAGTGAACCATTCAAGGCTGTCCACTTTTGAAATGTATAAATACAGCTGCTCTACGCAGTGTTGACTACTTAGTTTGAGTTAGTTTCACAGTATAGTTGCAGTAAGTGTCAGTAGTTGTTCAAGTTAGAAGTACAGCAGTACGGCAAGATAACCAGAGACAGTGTTAAGTAAAAGATACAGAAACATGAACATTTGACTTGAGAATTGTTCTTAGAAATAAAGATTACAAAACAGAACCCTGCTTTGTTGGTGGCAGCGATTTCGTTCGTTCCTTCAAAAGAACACAGAGAACCGTACACTGGTGGCAGAATAACGAGAACCGTACAGTATTACAATCAGTACATTTTTGCGAAAGAAATTCTTGTAGAAGTTAGATAAATAAAATTGGCTCAAGACATCATTTTCTGTGTAATGTTTTTTACGCCCTGCGTTAGGGGTGACACTTTCTTGCTAGGGGAGTATAGAATAAGCTTTACACATTTACTTATTCGATTAACCTATTGATTTACTATATGGCGATAAGTTTGGCTTGGTGTGGTACGTTTCAAATAGCATTATACCTTTCCTTTAAAATCAAAGAAGTTCATATGAGCATTTCGAAGTCAAACATACGTGTATTTTAACTGAAATACCAAAATCGGTTTTAAATATGAAAATGCTAGACCAAAAAGAAAAATTCAGAAAGATATTACCGAAAAACAGAGTTTTGAACGTTTAACACAAAATTTACATCTTTTATACTCACACTGTTTAGACAGCAACAAAGTAGAGCTACACAAGGCAACAGTGTAACGAACACAACAACAGTGTAGAAAAAGCCAACGGGCAGCGGAGTACTTTGGACAGTTGTGGGCGTGGTCGCGGTACATGTAGAAGTAACCCTTCTCTGGGAGGCGATACCCACGTTGTTGTTGTTGTTGTTGTTGTTGGCCGTGTCTGGTTTGTTTAAAATGGAATTTGGCGCAGATCTTGTAGCAGCAGGAGCGGACTCAGTAGCGTTGTCGCTGTTATGTCTCTGGGAGACCGATCCATTTCCGATAGAGGGCGCCGAGGTATTCGTGTTATTGGTAAAAGAGGAAGTGGCATGGGGTGTTAAAATTATCAGTATGGCGGTAATACTGCACAAAACCCCGCATGTATCCATTGGCTGAGATTGATCTGAAAAACGAAGACAAAATGCCCACATGGAAGGATCGAAGGGGTGAAAAAATTTACGAAGATTGCCTTTTGACATTTAAAATGGAATATTTCAGTTTCAAGGGTACGCCTGGGTAAATGCGTTTTTTTAAAACTCCGATCTAATATAAGATATGTGAATGCACAAGTGTGTAGTCAGGTACGTAGCTACCAATTAATTGACTACCACTGCTGCATTGTGTAAAATGCAATGATTTAATTGGGTAGTGCTCTATTGGGCTGGTCAAAGTTTAGCTTTGGCGAAGCATGGTTCTGCGAACACCAAACCGGCTTTAGCAGGTTTGAATATTAGACGATCTCTGAGGAACCCACTGTAAACAGCAAAACATCGTCGTCTTTTTTTTCTAATGAATTTGGGACCATGACCGTTTCTGGGTACAACACTGAAACCACGTGGTTTCCTTTATTATTGAGGTCAGATTTCACCTTTACCGCTCAACTTGTCAAAATATAGTTTATTGACATCCAGAAGAGACCTACGACGCGACGTAACGTGTGCCGCGTCAAAAGTGGCTGGGGTCATTGACAGCGTCAGTATTTGGAGTGGATATCACATTGGTGCCAAAACACCAATGGTAGTCATCGATGAAAACCTGAATCAGATCAAATAGAGAAGTAATATCGTGACTATACTTTAATTGGGAGCACCTAATGAATAATTTGAGATTGCATGATGAGGTTCCTGGTTCACACAGAGCTCTCTTAATCGCAAATAACTTACACAACCAACGGAGTGAGCAGCTACCTTGGTCATCAAAATCGTCATATTTGAATCACATAGACAAAAGTGGGTAGGTCGTTATTTGCCGAATCAACGGCCTACATATCCTACAATAAAAGTGAACCAAACTTGACAAAGTTTGATTAATGCCTGGAATGTTATTCCAGATTAAACTCTAAGAACCTATCCCAACTCTAAGAACCGTTTGAGAGCCTAAGAGATAATTAAAAGTTATTAAAACACGATTTGAATCCTTATTTTCATTTAACAGTCAGCAAAATAGAAAAACGACTGAAGAAAAATGATTTGGAAAAAAATGCTCCCTGTTAAATGTCAAGTCTGTAGTTTCAAAATTTTATAATACTGTGTCAGCATGCTAATGCTAAAATGTCATCTATAAAATTATTGTTATATTTGTCGTATTGTTATATTTGTTGTTATATTTCTCACACTTGCACTGCCAATGTTGACCTACGTTAGGTGTGATTAAGGGCGTATTGTGAATCAAAGTCCAGATATTGCGTGATCAGTATGCGTAGGTTATCGTCTGAACAGAGAGGAGACACGAATAGGCACACATATATGGGGCAGCACCATCTTTGAGATATTGGGGAATAGTGCTCATTTTCAAAGTCACACCGAAAACTCTGTCATGTGCAGCTTCAAGTGAGTGTAGAAATGCAAAGCTTTATCTCACAGCATAATGAAAAGACTTCACTAATTAATTTTCAAGGAAGGAGTAGATTTTATAAACCAAGACCTGGTGACCAGAAGGATTTACTGTATCATTCATATTTTTGGCAAGTGTTGTATATTTGAATATGTTTGTAAATTGTCAATATGTTCATTAATGATGAGTTACAGATTAAACCTCCCCTATCTATGATGGAAATATTGCAACTTTGAGCGCATTCTCAACGAATTAAGCCAGGCTTTACAAAGCCGGTGACCTAAAAATGGCGGACGTACATGAAAGAAAAACCGCCTAATCTTTTAATAGTCTCTCCGCCTCCCCACACGTCGTCCCTGCGGAGTACAGTAATTAAATCCCGTCTCCGTTCGCCATGCGGAAGCTACCTGAGAAATATTAAGTGTGCATGCTCATCAGTTAAACTCGTGGTGAAGAAAGCATGGCGGCTGAAGGCGATCGAAGGAAGAAAGCTCTTCTGTTCTATTATCTTTGAAAACAGAGACGAAAAAGGAATAATTTGGCCCGTAGAGCAGCAATGAATCGACTATCTACGGAGATAATATCACCAGAGATATTCACGGAAATATTAATGTTCGGAGCCGAGATTTAATTACTGTACCCTGCAGGGACGACGTGTGGGGAGGCGTGTGAGAGGCGGAGAGAGTATTAAAAGATTAGGCGGTTTTTCTTTCATGTACGTCCGCCATTTTTAGGTCACCGGCTTTGTAAAGCCTGGCTTAATTCGTTGAGAATGCGCTCTTTGAGGCCTGTCTTTCAAAAATTAAGGCAAAAATTTATCAACCACACAGCCATAGATTAGTAAGCATTTTACAGTGTATACACAGCAGCAAACCCATTCAAATAAAATAATCAATGCGTTAACTCCTTCTGTGAAGGAGTACGTGAAAGATATGGGTCACGTAGTGGTTTAGTGTTTATTCTGTTTGCTACTTTGTATGTCTCATTTATGAAATAAGCAACATTTGTTCTCTTGGAAGTTAAATTTACTATTCATCTAGATAATACAACTATACCTTACACATGGAAATTATTATAATATAAATACTCAATTTCACAAAACATTATTCTAACAGCATGATACTAAAGTGGGCGTGTAACAGTGCTACATGTACAGTACCTCTCGATTTTACATCAAATGAATGGCGTCGAATATTCACCTCGAATACGTAGGCCCTACTTGGTAACTGCCTAACAAACTTGACTTACCCTGTTGACTTATTATTATGTACAGGATAATTAAGATCACCACAAACGTACTCCAGTGTATGCAGAAAGACTGAACTACATGTACATGAATGCCGACGCTATCAAAAAACAATGATAAGAAATAGACAAGTTAACACATAAATAAATAAATGAGGCTCATGCAGGCTCACATGAGAAAAATCCATCGTGTGGATAACTAGTCGGTGCTTATACAATCATATAAGCAAGCATAACTGATATATCGGGGCAAGTGTTAATTTCTTCTCATAACTTTCTCTTTAACAAATTAATCTGTAACGCTAACTGGTCTGTTATACTACGAGATGGGAGAAGAGGATGATTTCCATGTTAGGCACGTATTTTTTTGTACATCTACATGATGCATTATAGTGGGGTTAAGTAAATATTAAGTATAGTGGGATTGAACAGTTTTGTCTGGGTCATTGATAAGCAATAAAAATAGATCAGCCGTAGGTTTAGATCTCTTGAAAGTCTGTCATTTGGGGACAATAGAAGTGGGTCTTCATTGCAGGCTCAAAAAAGCTATATCAAGCTATATAATCAAGCAAAAAGGCCACAATCGACCCTAAGATCCATCGGAGATAAATGCAAAAAATTATATTCCTGTCCTACAACGCAATTTTCGCTGCCTCCTAAATTTTAACGAAATTCTCGAATTCAATCGGATAAAAATATCACCACGTTCATAGCTTTATTACAAGGAAATGAAACATACAATAATAATAATTATAATAATTCCAGTATTTAGCAGTCGGAACACGAAACACGGTTCCTAGTCGGTGAGCGATCCACTTTCAGATACATGTACATCCGGTTGTCTCCTTGATCGGTTTATCATTCTAAACACTAAAATGACTTAATCATACTACATCTGTGTACCAAAAAATGAAAGCAAATATTGAAGAACATAAGATCATAGTAATAAAAAATGTTGTAATTGCTGTTTCAAAAATAATGTTTCATTCAAGATATAAAGATATTTTGCCGATTCATTTTTTTATTGTTTTAGCAATAAAAATTATTTTTAGCATCTTTTTGCGTACGATTTTCTACTACAGAAGCTTTAAAACTGTAACCACATATCACAGCCCACTTAAACAGCTGTGAGGTCATTCTATCGCGTACCTCTCTGCAGCCTCAACGGTCTACGTGCAGGTGTAAATAAAATTTCACAAAGATATATGACATGAAATTCACTATGTAAAAAACATATTTGTGACCCCTGAATGCAGGTTCACCATTTTACATGAACAATATCTTATCCTGGCCCCCTGACTAAGAGCATGGTACCTACAGGTACCTACAGTACGTCACTACACTGTAAGTCCTTTTTCACGAAGAATCTGAGGGGCCGCTTACGTTGTTTTTTTTTTCTTAGCTGCTAGACGACGAAGCCCAGCCTCCTCGGGAGGTGCCTTAAGTCAGCAAGCTCAGCTAAAACTCGGTAAATCAGCTACAATACTTTCGAAAGTATGTACCTTCCTCAAGATATTTTTATGATATCTTTGAATGTTAATGAAATTATTGGTTTTAAAAAATAAAATGCAACATCACTCAGCTCTTTGTGAAACAGGGCCTGGGCTCTACCGTGAGGCCAATCTACAGTAAAAGACTTAAGTGAATTATGCCAGTAACATACAGTAGTTAAACAAATGTTGTACATGTACAAACAGTATTTTAAATTATAATTGTTACTATGCCAATGGATTTTTAATACAAAGTCGGTACAATATTGAAGCAAATATTTTTCCTTTCTGTTCTTCTGCTCAAGGGCAAATTGACCAAGACAGCAGAATTAAAAAAAAAATGATGAGTCTGTCCTTGTGCATATAGGGAGCAAGATTTGTGTAGTGGTTCAGCACCTATACCAGATATGCAAGAGACAAAAAGATAAAAATGTACGCATCAACTATGAATCAAGTTTATGTTTCCTCTCCAGTGTATTATAAATGAGCTAAATTTTCTTCTTGTACAAGATGGGTGGTTTAGCTTTTATTTAGATTTACTTCACATGCTTTATCTCTTTTGCTTATCTCCCTATAGGCCAGCTCAACCTGTGGAATATAAGTTACTATATAATTTGTAATTTTGTTGTGAAATAAAAACTGAACTGATGCGCAGGATGGAGGTTCTGCAATTGAACAAACTGACCTCACTGTTCTGGGCTGAAGTTGAAAAAATTTAGTTGGTTATACATGTGGTTTTAGGTGAGACATTGACTAGTGATTATTTCATTCAAAATCTTGTCATTGATTGAGGAATTTTTCAGGAAAGGGTAATAAAAGCATAGTTGTTCAGTTTAGTTAGGATTTCGTTACCCATTTGATTGTTTCACAATAATCACTCAGAGAGTGAAGTCTGGATTTTGAGTCATTATTACTATATTGTTGCACATCATCTTATTATTTCTGTTTTTATCATTCAAAAAGGATTTTTCACAGCCTGCTTTTCATTAAAGTCAGAGAAATGCAAGTGAGTGCTGAGAAGTTCTGATACATATCAGGGACAGAAACTGAGGAGAAAGCTATGATACTCCCAAGGAGAAGAACAGCAGAAATTAATGATGGAAAACTGATGTGATACTTGAAAGACACTCCAGGTATGACGACACCATGGCCTCCCTCTGCCAGTAAATTTACCAATGCAGCAGCCAAAGAAGTTGTTCCAAATGAGCTATATTATCTTCTTTCCTGGGCCATTTCCGCTTCTGAAGAGCCAACACTAGATAATCTCTCTTTGCCAGAAGAAACTCACACCACGCTGCTGTCAATCTGTGAAGATATTGTATATTTAGCATTTAAAAGGATGAAAAGTACCCAGAAGTAATTGGCTTTATCTCTGACGACAAGACACTTGGCTGGGTCTTCCCACCTGCTAACATTATTGAAAAAGTAGCAGCATCATATACTTAACCACTGTAGGCCTAGAGGCCAGTATTGTCTGACTCCAATTGCTTTCCTCCAATGATATACCAGCAGGTTTCATCAGAGGATTTCCCACAATTCTGTTACAATTCTGGGACAATATTGACTTTAAGGAAGAAACTCTCACTGGGGCTGGAACTACCCACATTCTAAGATCTATATTAGATCTTAGGTTTAACATACTTATAGAAATCAACATCAACATGTATGATGATTAGAATAATTCTGTGACTTTTTACAATGAGATTTAAATATGAATGGAGCTCCCATGCAGTACGTGTAATATATTCTCTTTTCTGTATATTAGGGTTGACACTTTTCAGCAAACTAAGGGAGTAATGTATTAGTTTGAAACATTTATTTAATAGAGTAACCTATTGATTAACTATATGGTGATCAGTTTTATTTGGTGTGGCACTTTTCAAATAACAATACTTTTCCTTCATGATCAAATAAGTTCATATAAGCAGTTCGAAGTAAACGTATCTGTATTTTAATTGAACTACCAAAGCGGTGGTTAAAAGATGATAATGGTACATGTACCGTACTAGGATTAAGAATGTGTACATTTACCCCGTGGACCATTTGAAGATTACACTGCGATTAATGCGGTGGAAAATACAATAGAGAGAGTGTATAATGATAGGGTCGCTAGATAATTGTTGACGGCATATAGTANTAAAATTTATAAGAGGTACCCCCTCAAATCGACTGTTTCACTGTGACAACTACAGATGTAAAGAAATGTCTATAAAATTGAAAAGACGCCATCAAATGTCACCAAATTCACACACAATTAATTTGGTCACTGAGTGACCGAAAGCTCTGTAATGTACAGTTTCAAGTGAGTGTAGTAGATTTTATAAAACAATTAAGACCTGGTGACCAGAAGGATTTACTGTATCATTCACATTTTGGCAGGTGTTGTATATTTGAATATGTTTGTAAATTGTCAATATGAAAATCACCAAACATCGGAAGTTCATTAATGATGAGTTAGAAATTAAACCTCCCCTATCTATGATGAAAAAATTGCAACTTTGAGGCCTGTCTTTCCAAAATTAAGGCGAAATTATCAACCACACAGCCATAGATTAGTAAACATTTTTACAGTGTATACACAGCAGCAAACCCAATCAAATAAAATAATCAATACGTTAACTCCTTCTGTGAAGGAGTACGTGAAAGATATGGGTCACGTAGTGGTTTAGTGTTTATTCTGTTTGCTACTTTGTATGTCTTATTTATGAAATAAGCAACATTTGTTCTCTTGGAAGTTAAATTTACTATTCATCTAGATTATACAACTATACCTTACACATGGAAATTATTATAATATAAATACTTAATTTCACAAAACATTATTCTAACAGCAGTGGGCGTGTACCAGTGCTACAAGTACAGTACCTCTCGATTTTACATCAAATGAATGGCGTCGAATATTCACCTCGAATACGTAGGCCCTACTTGATAACTGCCTAACAAACTTGACTTACCCTGTTGACTTATTATTATGTGCAGGATAATTAAGATCACCACAAGCGTACTCCAGTCTATGCAGAAAGACTGAACTACATGTACATGAATGCCGACGCTATCAAAAAACAATGATAAGAAATAGACAAGTTAACACATAAATAAATAAATGAGGCTCAGGCTCACACGAGAAAAATTCATCATGTGGAGAACTAGTCGGTGCTTATACAATCATATAAGCAAGCATAACTGAGATATCGGGGCAAGTGTTAATTTCTTCTCATAACTTTCTTTTTAACAAATCAATCTGTAACGCTAACTGGTCTGTTATACTACGAGATGGGAGAAGAGGATGATTTCCATGTTAGGCACGTATTTTTTTGTACATCTACATGATGCATTATAGTGGGGTAAAGTAAATATTAAGTATAGTGGGATTGAACAGTTTTGTCTGGGTCATTGATAAGCAATAAAAATAGATCAGCTGTAGGTTTAGGTCTCTTGAAAGTCTGTCATTTGGGGACAATTGAAGTGGGTCTTCATTGCAGGCTCAAAAAAGCTATATCAAGCTATATAATCAAGCAAAAAGGCCACAATCGACCCTAAGATCCATCAGAGAAAAATTCAAAAATTATATTCCCGTCCTACAACGCAATTTTCGCTGCATCCTAAATTTTAACGAATTTCTCGATTTAAATCGGATAAAAATATCACCATGTTAATAACTTGATTATAAGGAAATGAAATATACAAAAATAATAATAATTCCAGTATTTAGCAGTCCGAACACGAAACACGGTTCCTAGTCGGTGAGCGATCCACTTTCAGATAAATTCGGTTGTCTCCTTGATCGGTTTACCATTCTAAAGCACTTAAATGACTTAATCATACTACATCTGTGCACCAAAAACGAAAGCAAATACTAAAGAACATAAGAGCATAGTAATAAAGAATGTTGTAATTGCTGTTTCAAAAATATTGTTTCATTCAAGATATAAAGATATTTTGCCGATTCATTTTTTTTGTTTGTTTTAGCAATAAAAAATTATTTTTCTAGCATCTTTTTTGCTACTACAGAAGCTTTAAAACTGAAAACACATATCACAGCCCATACTTTAACAGCTGTGAGGTCAATCTATCGCGTACCTCTCTGCAGCCTCAACGGTCTACGTGCAGTTGTAAATAAATTTTCCCGAAGATAAATGACATGAAATTCATATGTAAAAACCATATTTGTGACCACTGAATGCAGGTTCACCATTTTACATGGGCAATATCTTATCCTAGATAATCTCTCTTTGCCAGAAGAAACTCACACCAAGCTGCTGTCAATCTGTCAAGATATTGTATATTTAGAATTTAAAGGATGAAGAGTAACCAGAAGTAACTGGCTCTATCTCTGACAACAAAACACTTGACTGGGTCTTCCCACCTGCTGACACTATTGAAAAAAAATAGCAGCATCATATACATGTACAAATGTACTTAACCACTGTAGGCCTAGAGGCCAGTATTGTCTGACTCCAGTTGCTTTCCTTCAATGATATACCAGCAGGTTTCATCAGAGGATTTCCCACAAATCTGTTAAAATTCTGGGACAATATTGACTTTAAGGAAGAAACTCTCACTGGGGCTGGAACTACCCACAATTCTAATAGCATAACGATTCAAAGAGAGCACCTAAATGTGTCACTGCCAAGCCAAGGGAGACAGTCGTTGACGAAAAAGAAAGTCTTTGCGATTACAAGAAACAGTCCTGAGTTTAACATACCTATAGAAATCAATATCAACATGTATGATGATTAGAATAATGCTGTGACTTTTTACAATGAGATTTAAATATGAATGGAGCTCCCATGCAGTACGTGTAATATATTCTCTTTTCTGTATATTAGGGTTGACACTTTTCAGCAAACTAAGGGAGTAATGTATTAGTTTGAAACATTTATTTAATAGAGTAACCTATTGATTTACTATATGGTGATCAGTTTGATTTGGTGTGGCACTTTTCAAAAAGCAATACTTTTCCTTCATGATCAAAGAAGTTCATATAAGCAGTTTGAAGTAAACCTATCTGTATTTTCATTGAAATAACAAAGCGGGGGTTAAAAGATGATAATGGTACATGTAGACCCCTCCCCCCCAAAAAAAAAAAAAAATAAATAAATAAAATAAAAACTTGCTGAAAAATAGAGTTTTGCAACGTTTAACACAAAATTTACATCTTTTACTCACTCTGTTACATAAGCAACACAGTAGGCCTACAGTAACAGACACTGCAACGAACACAGCAACAGCGCAGGTAAACCCATTCATCGCAGTACATATACCTTTGGTACCGGCAGTTGTGGGTATGGTCGCGGTAGAAGTAACCGTTCTCTGGGAGGCGATACCCATGTTGTTGTTGTTGTTGGCCATGTCCGGCTTGTTTATGCTGGAAATTGGCGCAGATCTTGAAGCAGTTGGGGCGGGCTCAGTGGCGTTGCCGCTGCTAGGTCTCTGGGAGACCGATCCATTTCCAGTAGAGAACACTGAGATACTCGTGTTATTGGTATCAGAGGAAATGACGTGAGGTGTTAAAACTATCAGTATGGCGGAAACAGTGCACAAAACAACGTATGTATCCATTGGCTGAGAGCGATCTGAAAGATAAAGATAAAATGCACACATGTGGGAGGGAATTTACCACGGTTGCCTTTTGCAAAACTAATGGGCATGATTTTGGTTTTAATTAGTTTCAGGAGGGTGGTTTTGATAAATTTCATTATACTGTATAAACCTGCTATTGTAGGACAGAATGCCATCTAAGATAATAGTTAAGTTAGCCATTGATATACAAATTAAAATGTACACATAACGGGAATTAGACTGTTATTTGGGTTAAATATTAAAAGTATAAAATTGCGTCATGTCGATATTACAGGTAGATTGCTGATACACGGTAGTTGTACTACCGATGATGACCTACATTATGTCTTACCTACATTAGGTCTAATTCAAGGTTAAGAGTTTGATCTGAATGCGTGGGCTATCGTCTGGACCAGTGGCGGATTTAGAGGGGGTCGATTTCACCTTCGATTTCTGGTCCTCTCTTGAAATTAAAATGTTCACAAGCTGATTCATAGTTACCATCATTCTCTGAAACTGTGCGATTTAAACAAACACTTATTTCCCAACAAGAATGAGGTCACTTGATTTAGTGTCCTTGCTGATGTTGTACGTATCATGTGCTACTTATTTCTGTTCACTTTGACGTTAAGTTTATTTTTTATCTGGTTTGTCAGAATAATATGACTATACCTTACACATGGACGTTTGATTCTTCCAGCCTGATATATCGAAATGGACGCGTACCACTCGGTTTCACATCAAATGAATAGCGTCGGTTTAAAACTCATAATGACAGATTCACCTCGAATAACTTCCTGGCCGCTGCTTACCTTGTCATCTTTGTTTACCTTAATGATTTAAAAGCCGTAAAAGTAAGCCGAGCCGCTGCAATCTAGCTTAACATGATTACTTTGTTTACGTCGATCGACCTACATTCCTGACAAAAACAGATAACACATAAATGAATAAAATGAGTCTCGGCCTCAACTACAGTGGAATATTTCTTATTATTTTAGTGCAGATTAATTTTGTTTGGCTTAATAATAAAAAATATGTCATTGAATTATAAAAATATCCAGTCAGATGCCACCCAAAGAAAGAACACCCTCGGAAAACCATATCAACAGTTTGATGACAGTGTGAAGTTTAAGCTAAGATATTTTAGAAAATGAAAGCCTCCGGACAGTGATATGCTACACATACAAAGAGCTCATTTCTGTTAATCATGAAAAGTGTTCAAAATAGGACATGACCTCACGCTGCCGCTTGCAGCGTCCTTATCCTGCGTTGCATTCCCACTGACAAGTTTCTCATAGTATGGGTGGGGGTATCATTCCACGCATTGATAATTGACTGTCGGACTTCATCACGATTTACCGGTTGGTGGTCATAGCTATTACATATGCGTGTGATTTCCGCTCCCATTATTTACAATTGGTTCATATCTAGGGGGTTAGCAAGCCAGGTCAGTTGCTGGACCCTCTTGGTTATGAAGAAAAGCAGTGCCTCGGTGAGCTCGGTGATGCATTGTCCTCTTGGTATACGTCTGTCCCTTGCTCATGCAAAGGGAAGCATCGTTTGCTGAAGGAATTTTCTTGCTCAAATGAACCACTAATGAACCACTTATCAATGTGTTATTATTACTGTTTATATGTAGCGATTAATATTTACCTCTTTAGTTCAAGACACAGTAGCTTTTTGGGTTCACCTTTGAAAATCAAAACGTTCACTGATGAAAATGACAACAAAAGATTTTCTGTTGTAGATAGTGTTTAAAGATTGTAGTCTTCGTCTGCTCAGTCATGCTATAGAATCGTAAAGTGTAGTGTATATAAACTTAAGAAAACACAGATAATATATAGATCAAATGTACATTTATTAGTACTAAATATACAGTGTACAATAACCTCTAAGCACACGATGTTTTAACATTTTGATTAACATTTTAATGAAACTTAGCAAAATCTCTGACTGTTTCGGATATATAAACACACTAAAGCATTAAGCACTCTGCCTTATTTGAGTTGACTTGAAGTAATATGATAACGAAGAAATTCTTATCAGATATACACATCTCAGGTAGAGTAGTGAAATAAGCTTTTACGTCGAGTATGTGGGATGCTTTGCTCTGCTAACATGCCTGTCCACATTCGTATTAATGAATTCTAACAAAAACAGTTTTGTATCCTTGATCTAAACCGGCTTTCATTACATAAGGCAGCAATTAAAGAATAGAACAAACACAAGCATGATGTTCCAAATTCGACTGATGACGGCATCATTTATTGAAGGTCCCTGTGATAAACGAAGTCAAGTAGTTTAGTGGTAAACACTGAAAAATGTCGAATAATGATTTTTACGTAATGCTTATTCCTGCAGAAATCTCTATTTAATATGCAATTTCCAAACAAATAGTGTGCACACTTTAATTTGTGGGGACGAAACTTGGTAAACTATCTAGCACTTATATAGGAACCCTGGTAAAAACATGCAGCATTAAAATCGAGGTCTCAAGTTAAGTTGTAATAGTGAAACCATCGCCATGAATCAACGTTTGACTACGCCAAACTGATTTCTTGGCGATTTGTGTTTTACAAAGTGATTTTTGAAATGCACGATTTTTTAATCTCTCAGGAAATTAAGTAATCTTACTAATTTTTCAAACAAAATGTGACCTAACTAAGTTGTTATAAACATCATCTCACATGAAACCTTTTACTATATGACCAATAAATTTGATTTAATAGCAGTAGAATAGAAAATAAAACCATCAGCAGCAAGTTAATGTAAATCTCGTAAATGTAGATGTAAATATCTCTGACGAAAACCAAATTTGTTTGAGAAACTAGTAATTAAGATATATATGAGCCCCGACTAGTCCATTATAGCACGAGTTGGTGTAGGTAAATTCAATTAAGCCAAAAATCCATCAGAAAAATATTTTACATTGGAAGGAATGTTTAAGCATGAAATTTAATGAAGCAAGATTACTAAATATATTTTGCAGACAACAGCATGTCGCAATGCTACATGCTCACTAACCATTATAGGTTTAAGCAATTCAAACATACATGTATCAAACGTACATGTATATAGAGGCAAAACCGCGTGTAAAATTTATACATAGTACTTATTCCTTTTGATAAAATCTGGAGTAAAAATACGCTCATGTTGATATTTGTCATTTTGATAAAAGACGATACATATAATACACAGTGAAGAAATGAATGTTGCAATCAATGTTTCATTCGCAATAAAACCTTTTGTTGATTTTCGAACTATAAAGACTAAAATATATTTTGTTTTGACAATAAATAATATTTTCTTACATCTATTTATAATTGTGTCCTATCTACTGTAGAAGCTACAAACATATGGTACAACCCACCTATACAGCTGTGTCCCGTAATCCTCTGCCCGTCAGCAATCTACGTGTGGCTGAATATAATAACTTCGCAGAAATTACTATCATTATCCACATTCAATTTCCAGTGTAAAACCAATTTTTTTCCAAAATTTTGCAAGGGCGAAATCTTAACCTTGAGTCTCTTATGAGGTCAATCTTGAATGAAAGATTTAAACCAGTTAGCTACTGAAACCCCATATTGCGTCGCTCATTTACGACTTACGTCCATTATGACATCTTGATATAATTAGCATTAAGCTGGAAAAAATTCCTTCAGTGACCCCCTAACCGTCCAGTCATCAGCAGACGATCGGGTTTTTCTCACAGTTTTGTAAACCTCCAGGAACAGCTCGTCAAAAGGCAGCCTGGCGGTGAAGTACGTCATAGGATTACCTACAGTGGCTTGTATAGCAGGCGACCTGGAAAAATATTCATTAAATGTATAAGAACGCTATTTTCTTTGATATACATATTTTAAACGGGACATTTCCTCTCAAGTAAATGAGGAAAAAATACACTACATACAGTTCTCACACAGATGTTTGAACAGTTTCATTAGTCTGATAAAATTCCTTTTGTTCCATTGCTCCATGCAGTTCAGATTCACGTAGATTTACATTATAAAAAGTGGATATTTTAATAGAACTTAATTTTTTAAGATAAAACGCTAGTAAAAGTCTATTTGATAAATATTATGTTGCAAGTTATACAGTTTTCTGTCTTTTCAATAAATTTGATATGTTACTATAAACATATTAGTTGAATTAATCGTGTTTTACACCCTTCCTTGCAAACTTTGAACACATGGCCAGAAATGCGCAGCTTTCACGCGAGGGCGCTACAGTAGGGCTTCACGTGACTCAACTAGCCAATCACAGCACAACAATGGCATCGCACAGAGAATCTGTGATAAGTGCTCAGCCCATTGTCAAGTAGTGTTAGTTCATGGTAACAAGCCTCTGACAGGTGCAGAGAAGTTCATTGTAATATATATTGTTCTTATTGATACATAATTAAATCAAACTCTGTATCCAAGTACAACTGTAGTAACTATACTGTACCAAGCCAAGTACTGATGATGTGCAGAGGTCATATATTCCAGAATAAGCCTTTACCACTAATTTATAACTTTAATTTTGTTTAATATGTTAATCATGAAAAAGTTCATGAAAGATTATTTTAATTTGTTAAATCGTGATCTTATTCTTTTTATATTCAAATAATTGAATAATGTGGGTAAAATTGGTCTTCCACTTCTTATTTGCATTCTTTACTACAAGATTATTTTGGAACAGTTGCAGCATTAAAATTTAAAATAAATAGCAACCTGAAAGAAGAATTTTGCATTATTATTATTAAATGATGATAGG